AAAGCAAACCTTGACCATAACATTGAAAGGGAAAGACCCTTTTGTTGATGTATTGTAGATAATTATGTCGAAAATGGCGTATGCCTATTTATGAGTCGTGTTCAGCTTTAAACTACATGCAAACAAAACTCGGTATTAACAAAGCTTGAATTGTAAAGGCTCAATTTCACATTTGATTTAAATTTCTGAAATATTCCATCAAGAAGATCGAAGTAAGACTAAGCGATGAGCTCACTAAGTGATACCCCCTCCTCCCATATAATTATAATGGCAAAGTCCATGTTTTGCTGTGCTCGGGATACCCAAATATATGTCGGATCAAAAAGTAAAATAGGAGGTGCACAATGGCAATATGTAATAAAGATTCTGTGAAAGTTTCATTAAATTTCACTCAGTGGTATAAGAGGAGTTGCGGATAAGAGATGGGTACCCCAAAGCGTAACAGACAGACGGACGGACGGACATACCGATTACAGTATACCCTCCCACTTTTCAAGCGGGGGTATAATAATGATCTATCAATCTAACAATTAACAAACTGTACTGAGGAACATAATCAAAGTACTGAAAGTACTGTTAGACGGAGGCTTCAAGTATGAGAGAACACAAAAGAAATATATATGTCATACATTGCTGTAAAGAATATTATGAGAAATGATGTGTAGTTTTTTTTTTCAATTCAACATTATTTTCAAAGGATACTCCAATATTCATGAGGTTTTTGGGATATTATAATTTCATCTTTGTAATGTAAACTTCGCCTTGATTAAAGTTCACTGTTATTTAGATGAGATACTTTCAATATTAAACTTTTCAAAGTAAGAAACAGTAATTGACTAGGCCTGGTTGACATAAAACTTAGACGGGCTAACTTTTTATCCCAGTCTCACTTAAGGAATATATAGTGGAAAAGTGAGACTGAGATCAAAAGTGAGCTTGTCTAAGTTGTATGCCCCCAGGCCCGGTTTGATGAATGTAGGTTTAGTATGTTCTAGTCATGAGCCCACTGGCGGAATTAAAAGGGGCCCCTGGCCCCCTCCCTTTTGAGTCCAAAAAATACGCAATATTTGATAAATGAGTGTTTTAATTGTGGCTGTGGGCCCCTTCCCTGACCTCAAACTGGTCCCCCTATTTCAGAATTTCTGGATTCAGCACTAGGCCTCAGCCTGTCAGGAGTCTCCATATTTCAAGATATCTTATTTATAGGTCACAGAGACCTACTGTTAACATAATTATGACATGTAACAGCTACCAAAATCAAAATTTCTCGGCCTTATTGTAATAATGTAATGATATGAGCTAACATGGAAAAAGAAGCAGCCAGGTAATTGGACATGAACAACATAATATAGTACAGTTTGTCTTAAACCTTTGTGATACAAAATGGGGTGACCTAGCTTGAATTTTCTTTAAGTAATACAACTTCATTAACATGCAATAAATGTTCGTGCCAGAACACAATTTTTTGAGTGGAATAAAATATACTTTCTTACTTTATGTAAACAGAACAATCAAGTTCATAAGACTTGCTATTTCACAAGTTTAAATTGTTTTTGGAGAACTGGAGTATTGCTTACAGTAACAAAGATATATCTTGACAAATTTGACAACCAATATTTCTGGAATTATTAAATGTAGTATTCTATCATATGGCAGATTAACCCAAAAATGTCTTTCTTTACTCGTATACCAGTGGAAATGGTTGTCCTTTTCAGTTTATCTGTTTAAAACAATCATTAACAATGAGACATGATTACAAATTACGTAGAGAAAAGTTATAAATATATAACTATGATTTCTGCTTTTCAGTTAAAACAATCACTTTACCAATGATGTAGGTTAAAAAAAATTGACATGAATACCAATGATCAGAAATACATGTAATCTTGTATATAAAAAATAATTAAAGTTTGGGATGTGAAAGAGGTAAAACACAAGTATCAAATGCAAATAAGGATCAACGATATGACAATAAGACAACTTATTTCAGAAGATATGATTTTTAATTATTAATTTGGATATTATGTGATAAATCATGTAAATCCTATGAACCAAGATTTGGGTTGTACCCAAGGGTCAAACGTTACAAATGCATTTTGATCTCAATATCAGAGTTGCCGTTTGTTTCTCTCTTATCTAATGTGAGGGTACCCCAAACACTCAAACCGCTTGTAGAAAGTGTAAATCTATTTTCATGTGTTTCCTGAAATTATACATAATATCAAATAAACAATTCAAAACTAGAGTGTTAATATTCCTACATATAAAAATACTATGCATTTGTTTATTCATCGATCCTTGTCAGATTAAAAAACTCCATGAAACCTATTGATGCAAGCGTCAAAAATCGACCGCAAACCAATTTATCGGTCCTTTCAAAAAGAAATTAGAAAAGGAATGAAAATGAGATTACAAACAACAATCAAGCACAAAAAATTCCATTAAAACTGAAATGCTTGATCTATTATTAAAATATCTTATATTTATACCTGCGACATAAAACATTTGCATGCGACATAGCAGGATTTTCTTCAATACATAATACAGGTACATCTGCGTCTCCACACTTAGTTTGATACACAGGCGAATTCTAGTGGAAGTTTTTACAATTAAATATAAAACTAAAGCTTAAACTTATCTGTAACTAGAGATAGTTTTTACTTTAATAAAAGAAGCAATTGATAAGTGGGATTCCTCGATCACTCTCCGCGGATGTTAAACCCCCCCCCCCCCCCAACTCCCTCTAGATCCGCCACTTCATTTCTTCTCGTTCTTGTTTTGGTGTGAGAACCGGCGGGAAAAGGCTCGGCATATTGTAAAACATGCTTTATCATCGTCTGTTGGAACAAAATCTCCTAATATTCTGTCTGATAAAAAATTAATAGTAAATCACATTTTTTTTTAAATATTCCGTAGGAAATGTATTTATATACACGTCATTTTAAAAAATATTAGACAAATCCTGTTTATTTAGAAAAAGTAGAACTGTTTGTTTATACTTGTATGTGACGCGATCTTTGTTTTAGACTATGCCTATCCTTGCGGTCGGTGTAACGCAGAGTCGCTCTAAAAATAGAATTCTCAAGGTAATGAAAACAATTCCACCGATAGATGGTGCTTGGGAAATCTTTCCTGTTTACATTTCATGGGCAAGACAATCCCTATACACGGAGGCTGTCATACAGCTTCCGTCTAAAAATCAATAGCAAGCCACAGAAATAGCTACTTATTCTTTGAACATAAAAAATATGTTGATCATCATAATAAAAAAAGGTGTGTTTGTGAAAAACTATGCACCCGGTGGCAACAAACTTTGAAAAGGCTATTTTTAGCATATAGGTCACAGTCAAGGTCACATCATTGATCTTAGTGTCATTTGAAAGAACTTAATTAGTGGAGTATGCATACTAATTATGAAGTCTCTATCTCTTATGGTTCAAAATTTATGGTAGAGGTTAAAAAGGCTATTTTTAGCATACAGGTCACAGTAAAGGTCACAAGGTCATTTACCTTGGTGTCATTTGAAAGAGAGCTTAATTAGTCAAGAGCGCATGCATACCAAATATGAGGTCTCTATCTTTCGTGGTACAAAAGTTATGTCGAAGGTTCAAAAAATCTGTTTTAAGCAAATGGGTCACAGCCAAGGTCACAAGGTCATTGACCTTGGTGACTTTTGAAAAAGCTTAATTAGTGGATTATGCATACTAAATATAAAGTCTCATCTCTCATGATTCTAAAGTTATGGTGAATATTCGAAAAAGCTATTTTTAGCATATAGGTTACATTCAGGGTCAAACAGTCATTGACCTTGGTGTCATTCGAAAGAACTTAATCAGTGGAGTATGCATACCAAATATGAAGTCTCTATCTCTCATTGTTTCAAAAGTTATGGCAAAGGTTTACGTTTACAAACACGCAGACAAACAGACAGGGCAAAAACAATATGCGCCCTAGATCTATCGATACGGGCGCATAAAAATGTGTATAGAAACAATATTAACATGCCACTGTGAAAATCAGTCCAGCAACTCTGCAATAATTTTCAAATAACCTTAATTAGCTGCCTATCACATATTCCCAAATGACAATCAGTATAATATACATATTATAGCTTGTTTATAATTTCCAGCACATGTAGATTCAATTTCCTTTCATGGATTCAAATTTATGTAATCAGTTAATTATATATGTTCATGCATTTATATAATTGATAAATTGCATTCATTTTTTCCTGCAACACCAGGATAAATAGACATACAAGTCTAGTATACATGCATCACAAGCACTAGTTGAAATGCAAACAATTTTTCCTATTTTATCTCCATATAATCATTCATCTCAAAAAGACTAGTAGGCATTCCTATAATTCTGCTGAAATTCTTTTTTCTGGCCATTCCACATTATTCAGTCTTATTACTCATCTTGTCTACTCCTTTTTTTACACTATAAAAGCTCCAATTTGCTTAATACAAGTCAATAATGAAGCACAGCATGCTTGACTTTGAATTCCCTCCAACTGTATTTAAAAAGAGGAAGTATCTGACTGAGCATGCTCAACAAATGCCTAATGGGTATTTTTTTAATCCTAGATGTTGAGATGTTGCCAGAAAGGGGTTTTTTTTTGCCAGAATTACCAGTTGTTGCAGCTAGCGGTGATATTTCACGAACCCAAAAAGCTTGTTTCTGGTGACAAAAATGTGTTGCAATATTGCTGCAAACATTTTACTTTAATTGGTATTAAAGGGATGAGTTTATACTTGTTTGAAGTTTCTTGGATAAGTCTATTCCCCCGTAACTGAAAGCCATATCAGATCAAATTGCATGATCAATGTTGCATTTTGCGATGTCCACTACAAGATGCTTGGTTAATGTTTTATTAATGCTTTTAATTGATGACAACAACATTTAAAAACGATAAGATTGAATTGTTACATTTTGACGTGAAACGCTTAAACTTCACATGAACGAGGCTAATAATAAAGCTTAATTTCCAAAGTTAATTAAGATTGGAATAATCCGCTTAGAATGTCATATTCACGTTGCAAGATCTTGATGATCTGATCAAGTTTCTCCGCTTCCTTACACAGTGTTCCATTTTCCATATCTGAGAGATCACTGACACTCCGATATAAACATATAACATCTTTAGCCAATGCGCAAATAGCTACCACGCTGACAACTTTTGTTGACAACTGAGCCACACTTCCAGAGACATCTTTGAATGTGGCCGGGATTAGATCATTCATTAAATCACTGAGTCCCAGGATTCTAGCAACCTCGTCTGAATTTCCCGATAACCTATACATATTAATTGCACGATAGTGTTTGATTAGGTTATCTGTCCTTCGAAAAGCTGAAACGCCTCCTACGACTTGATTAAATTGCTCTATCATGAACGAAAACTCCAAATCGCCCCCGTTTCTTATTTCCGTTTCAATATCGCATAGCTCTCTGATCATGTCCATCATAATTGACGATACCTCAGTGTGATTATCTAGACAACATTTTGCATCATAGCATTTCTCTTTAATGGTCTTAGTTTTTTTAACATCGTGAGCAAGTCCTACAACACCAGACGACAATCCTGTTGCGATGCCGGCCATGTTCAATGACAGTGATAGGCCTAATGTAAACGGGGCAGTTGCTATAGAAGCTATTGACAATCCCCCTCCAAGAACCCCAAAGCCGATGTATCTTATAGAACCATGGAAATGTGATTTAGCATGACTCTGGACCGTGTCCCTGATTTCTGTAAGGTGGGCAATAACTCGCCGCCTTTCGGGAGACCAAATATCTGTATAATATTGTCTTGCCTCCTCTAGAGTAGCTACTGATCCCTCCATTGTGTCGCAGCAGATCTTTGATCCTCAAGTTCAAAAATACTGTGAATGTAAACAGTCTTTTATTGAATTTTCTTCAAAATTTTAAATGATTAGTCTTCGTTTTGAATTGGCACTGTATATGCGTAGTTTACGGAGGAATGCCAAACCAACTTCACCGGTTTCTCAAACACTCCTCCTGACTTTTCGGGGTATCAACATTTTCGACTTCTTACATGATATTCTGTTTCAAAATTGATCTCAAAGGGTTTTTTTTTCCTCACATCATCAACAGTAATAACGTTATACAATAGAATTTAACTTCAATCCTACTTTAAAAGTCAATATATGTTACAAATCAAGCCAATTTAGGCTTCAAACTCTATTCGACGATGCCTTGCGGGGTGGCAGCATGTCCGAGAAATAAGGATTATTTTTTCATGCAGCGTTCTCCTGCCCCCCTTGCGAGACAAAAAAGATTCAGATCTCTTAGTGAAATTTAGATTATGGTATGGCATGATGTTATTTCGCTATAAATGTGGCTATGTCAAACTTTAAGAAGTGAGGAGGAGTGTTTGAGAAAACGGAGCACTCTCAAAGACTGCTTAAACAGTCAGAGGTACGTTGATATTTGTTCTCTTCCGTAGCTTACAATTTTCTGATCTAAGACGTCTGAACATATGAAAAAAATAAGGTTTACACACCTTGATGGTGTTTTTCTTGCTTCGATGCCGCCACCCCGAGTCACGCCCCACCGCCACCCCGAATGCACCGTTCTAACCGGTGAACTTTTTATTTTATAGATCTCTGAGTCAACCTTTTTAAACAATAGTTACAGCATTCAAATAATTTTTTCATTTTCTTTGAAAAAATACAAAAAAATTAATATATAATAATTAAGAGCTAATGTCGGCCTTTCAATGCTGAAACCATTGTTTAAAAAGGATGACTCAAAGATCTTTAAAATAAAAAGTTGGTGTGGCATTCCACCTTAAATATCTATGTACTTTATTCTGGCTTCGTATTGTCTAAATCTTAGATGTATCTTTTCATAGGTTTAATACATGAATTTTCCTTATGCACTTTGTCAAAGAAATAAAATACCAATCTTATTTTCTTTTATATGATAATACTAATCATAAATATATATATATATATATATATATATATATATATATATATATATATATATATATATATATATATATATATATATATATATATATGTAACAATAAGAATTTACATACCTGCTTTTATAATGAATGTAAAATATAATATGAAAATTATGTGCAAATGAAAATGAAATAAATGGAAATGCCTGTTACTTATTTTAACCAAATATGCCCTTGAACTTACCCTTGATCAATATCTCTGAGCGGACATTTAAAAGGTATATTTGCGTTGCATGTACACTACTTTTAATTTTAAAAGTCGTTTCTTTTATAGTTTTTGCCTTGTTATATCTGTTTCTCTGCAAAAACTTTCAATTATCCATATAACTTTTGACTGCATGGTTGAAGCTATGGCTATCATGTTTCACACGTGAATTCTCTGTGATAAGACTTTTTTTGTTTGTTCTTATTTGTTCTCGGCCCACTTTTGCAAAAATTTCCGGCTGCATTTCATTTCCAGAATTTTTTGTAATTATCAACTTTTCATTGGCGACATTTTTTTTTGTTTTCATTTCCGACATTTTTCTGTTTTCATTTCCGACATTTTCAGATAGTACCTTTAGGGTTTAGTAAGATTTGAAGACTTTACCTATAAAAAATTTACAGGAATAAATCATTAATAATTATCATTGAAATCCATCTTCTGAGTTTTGAAAATCTATCAATGACTTGGACATAAGGTTGGTGCTGTCACTATTTAATTTAGTCCACATTAAATGTGGTGAAAAAAGTTTTATACTCGATGGACTCTCTTACCTAGACTTAGTGCTGTATGTATATATGTATAGATAGATTTTTTCAAATATATTTTTTATCAATATTTTGCAATAAATACTTTTAAAATTCCATTTCACTCACTTGGAAAACATTAAATCTCACAGGTAAATTCCGTTATTGAAAAAAATATGTCGGAAATGAAATAAAAAATTGTCGGAAATGCTATGCATATTTCCGGAAATGAAATGCAGCAAAATTGCCAAACTTTAACATTGGCCAAAACTTTTGACAGTTGGTGCTAGCCTGCTAGGGATTTCATAATTCACATGTCAGGTGTATTTTAACAACACTTTCCTTGGGTATAAATATTTTGACCTTTTGACATTGACCTTAGAGCTTTACTACACTTTAAAAAAACCTTGCCATAACTTTTGAACAACTGGTACTAGGACAAGGTAACCAACTATTTTTTTTAACCTTTTGTCTTTGACCTTGTACATATAGGTTGACATAGGTGTCGAAAATCTTTATTTTTGGTCCTTTTATATTTCACGATTACATTTCTTGTGACAAGACCTTCCCCTGGGTAACATAAATTTTGACTCTCTGTCCTTATCCTTGTAGTTCGATCCAGTTTTAAAAGTTTTATCCGGACTTAAAGTTTTCAACGGTTGTTGTTTGGGCTTTTACAGACATACTCAAAGAGACAGATCCTTGCTTTGGTTATAACACTTTTGATCTCTTGAGCTTGAAGTTTGACTTGTATTTGAGAAATTTTAACTTTCGCAATAAGCAACCATATGCACTTCAGTGGTTCACAAACACATCTTGTATCAATTAAAATGATCAAAATTCCTGTATTATCCTTTACTCCTTTGAGCTCTCTGGTTTTTTTCTAATATGGCATTTGTGACCGTTAGTGCTGATTCAACGGTCGTAAACAGATGTGCACTAGCCAGTCAATATGCTTTTCACAACACATGCAGTTGCCTTAACTTTGAATAACAATTAACAGAACATCACCTGGCGCTAACTTCCACAGACCAAGGAACCGAGAAAACAGCAATTTTAGAAGAGGCACCTTTGTTTATCATAACTATGAACTAAAATACTAAGGCACAGAAAAGAATTTAAAAAAAAAAAATGATAATTTCCACGACAAATGCAAGAGTCCCACCAAACACCAAAAAAAAAAAAAAACAGACAAAAAAAAAAAAAAAAAAAAAACACCATTACCCAGGGCTATGAACGATGTACTTTTTATGCTCCCGAATTTATTCGGGGCGTATATTGTTTTTGTCCTGTCTGTCTGTTTACCTGTTTGTCTGTTTATTATCTGTCTGTTGTCAACTTTAACCTTCGCCATAACTTTTGAACCGTGAGAGATAGAGACTTCATATTTGGTATGCATACTCCACTAATTAAGCACTTTCAACTGACACCAAGGTCAATGACCTTGTGACCTTGACTGTGACCTATATGCTAAACATAGCTTTTTCGAGCTTTCGCCATAACTTAATTTTGAACCATAGGAGATAGAGACTTCATATTTGGTATGCACATTCCACTAATTAACTTCTTTGAAATGACACCAAGGACAATGATCGTGTGACCTTGAATGTGACCTATTTGCTAAAAATTGCTTTTTAGAACTTTGTTTCCGCCGGGCGCATAGTGTTTCACAAACACATCTTGTTGGAAGAAGCTTTCTTGCTCGTAAGTTTGCAATTAATTTGTCTGCTGAATACCAAGGAGCAGATTAGAAGTGTAGAGAATTTATGCTATTTAAAAATCAAATTTATAGAGCTCTGCCCAACAACCAGAACCCCTGTGCATTGGAATTTACAATTTTGAAAGACTTGCTTATTATAGCCATGCACGAAATGTATATATTATATACCCAGAAGCAGAGAAAAAAAATAATGCATTTTCTTTTATAATCAACAGAGCTCTGCACTACCACCACAGCCCCTGGAACATGAGCCATGAAATTCACAATTTAGAAGAGGCCCTGTTAATCTTAAAAGTATGCAATATTTTTCGCTTAATACCCGGTACACAGGAGCAGAAAAAGTAATGCACTTTATGCTCTATAAATAAATACTGTAGGTTTCAAATTATACGCAAGGCATTGCCACAAACCGGCACAAAGTATCCTAGGGTGAAGGGGATTTAAGTTTGTGCAAATGAAGGACCACACCTTCTTCCAAGGGGAGATAATTATATGAATTAGTGAAAAATTAATGGCATCTTTTGAAAATCTTCTTCTCAAGAACCACTACGCCAAGAAAGTTAAATCTCATGTGGAATCATCCTCAGGTAGTGTATAGATTTAAGTTTGTTCAAATCATGAACCCCGATTGTAGGGTGGGGCCACAATGAGGGATATACGTTTTACATAAGGATATATAGGAAAAAATCTTTTTCTCTAGAACAGAAAAGCTATGCTGAGTCAAACTGACATGTCAGCATCTGCATGTATAGAAGATTCTTTTTTTTTTTTTTCAAATAATGACCCAGGTGGGACTTGGGGTAGGGATGGGCCTTAATGGGAGATCATTTTTTGTACAAAGTAGAAAAAAATCTTAAACATCTTCTTTTAATGAACGGCAAAGTTAAACATATATGCTGTATGGATATGGTGGCACCCTAACTAGTATAAGATACTAGTACAATTCCCCCCCCCCTCCCTGTAAACTTTTCAATTCTGAGCTGATAAGTTTTTTACCTAGCCCATGTACTCAGGTGAGTGATGTGGCCCCTGGGCCTCTTGCTTTCCTACAGTGACTATAGGTCAAGATCATAACACACCCTCAGGCCATATGCAATCTTTGTATGAAGTGGAAACTCCCAACTTATTAACTCTCCATAGAAAAGATATGGACTGGATATAAATTATGAAATTTTTCTGTGAATGACCTTAAACTTGCCCAAATGACCTTTGGTCCCAAGGTCATAAGCAATTTTTGTGATATATGGAAAGTCATCAAATTTATCCAAAAGAAAGATATTGACTGGACACGTTTGAACTTTTTCTGTGAGCTACTTTGAATTTGCCTAAATGACCTTGTTTTGAACGTTTTCTTTCAGTGACCTTAAACTTGCCCAATGACCTATGGTCAAGTCATGACAGACCCACAGGTCATAAGCATTTTTTTTAAAATGGGATTTTAACAAGTTTTCCAATAAGAAAAATATGAACCAGACACAAATTATGAATTTTGAATTTGAACTTCCCCAATTGACCTTTGGTAAAGATCATGACACATCCTCAGACCATTAGCAATCTTTGTTGTTTGGAAACTCACCAAGTTTATCAATTTTTAAGTGGGATATGGACCAGACACAAATTATATTATTTATTATAGACGTTAAACTTGCCCAATTACCTGTGGTCAAGGACAAGACACACCCTCAGGTCATAAGCAATCTTTGTGTACAATGGGAATTTACCATATGTCTATTCAAAAAATTAAAGCCATGAGATTTCAAAAGTAGATCATGATGACCCACTTTTTGTTAAACATACCCTGAGACCCCAAAATGCCTCAAATGTAGTGTTGTCAAATCGGTTGAAAATCAGAATCGATTAATCGGTAGCATCGGTTGACCCTAACCAACTGATCATCGGCCAATAATCGAATCGGTAACCCTTTGCATAAAATAGGCATTAGATTTTATAAAATTTAGAATTTCATTGTTAAATAATGTAAGTTAAGGTGCATTGTACAGATCGAAATTCTAAAAACAGTATATATGCAGTTTGATTAACAATTTCAGTAATACAGATTTTTGCATGATTTGGAATTACTTGGCCTGGGGAAAGTTAATTAGCATTGTCAGATCAGGCTTTAATTTACATGATCATCTAAAATATATATGGAATATTAATTTTTTTAACTGTTTTAAGACATCTAATATTGCAAATCCTTGTGATTCTGAATGAAATGACAATTAGTGAATATCCCAAATACTGAAAACTACTGGTACTTTAGTTTCTTCACTTTAGAAATACAAATATCATTATCTTTTGATTTATTTTAAACAGATTTTAAGTACATGTATTTTGAAATAGTAAAGGACATTTCTTGGAAGATATATATTTTGATAACAAGAGCCTGTTCTTGAAATAAAAGTGAGGAAACTGTTAAAAAGATATGTGCTGAAATATACCGATTAATCGATTGTTAAAATCTCCAATCGATTGTCTAAAATTGACAGCCTTTCCGACCGATCATCGATTATAAATCGATCATCGTGACAACACTACTCAAATGACAAAGTTTTATTATCTTAAGACTCTTATTGTTTGAAATATTTAAATAATGCCTTGAAATTCCAAATGTAGGTCACCATGACCTTTTTATTTAATACTTTCTGGAGACCCAAGATGCATCAACTAAGAGTTTGATAATTTTTAGCATATATAAGTACCCAAATTATTTCAAAATTTAAAAAAAAAATCAAAAGTAGGTCACTGTGACCTACATTTCTGTTAATGTTCTCCAAAGACCCAAGATGCAGCAATTGACAAAGTTTGATGTTTCTTAGCCAATAAGGCTTGGAGATATTTAAGTACAATTATAAAAGTCCATAAGTAGGTCACGGAGCCCTACTTTTTGGTTGACATTTTCAAAGGACCCAAGATGCATCAATTGACAAACTTTAATATTATTCTAAACATTTAAGAACCTGAGATATTTAAATATAGCCATAAAATTTCAAAAGTAGGTCACCATGACTTACTTTCTGGTTCACATTCTCCAAGGACCTGAGATGCATCAATTTACAAAGTTTGATGATTCTAAGACAATAAGAAGTTGAGATATCTAAATATAGCTATAGAATTTCAAAAGTAGGTCTCCATGACCTACAATTTCATTGATGTTTTCCGCAGATCCAAGATGCATCAACTGTTAAAGTTTGATAATTTTAAGTCAATAATTATGTTTACCTGAGACATTTAAATAATGTCATAAAATTTCAAAATTAGGTCACTGTAACATATACATGTATTGTCCAAGGACCTAAGATGCATCAAATGAAAAAAAATTGATGATCATAGGTTGGAGTATCAAAAATATATGCCCTTTAAACAATTTTAAAACAAATGCTTGCAAAATTTTAAAAGTAGGTCACTGTGAACTACTTTCGATAAATATGTTTTAAAGCCCAAGGATGCATCAACTAAAAAGATTTGATGATTCTAAGCAAGGTATCTGATAAGCCATAAAATTCAAGTAGATCAAGCTGACCTACATTTATGTTGACGCTGTTTGAGGACCAAAGATGCATCAACTACAAAGTTTGGTGATCACAGGCCTTAAGTGTCAAAAATATGCCTCCAAATTAATTTGAAAATGAATGCCCGCAAAATTTGAAAAGGTCACAGTGACCTACTTTTCAACTCACGATACTAGTATGCTGTCCCAAGATGCATCAACTAACAAGATTTGATGATCCTAGTCTTAATAGTAAGCAAAACAAATGTTTTTATAAAGTGTAATTTTTGGTCAACTTTGAAGTGACCTTAACACCAAAACCTTTGCCCCAGGGTGATGCCTTAAACAATTTTTAATCTTCAACATATCCTCATCCTTGTATGTAAGTTTGGTGATAAACTGTCAAGTGGTAATTGAATTTTTTTAGCAACCACTTCCTTTGGTTTTATTTACCTGATTATCTTCCATTGTTTAAGGGTCACAGCCCTAGTTATAGCACAACCAAGAGCCCTTGGACCAAGAACACCCTGTGACAATTTTGACTTTGATTGGTCAAAGGATTCTTGAGTTATGGCCCATATTCTATAAAGTTTACGCACACAGCACAAATGGCCTTAGCATTAGCTCTTAGCCAAAGGCTCGGAAGAGCTAATAAAAATGGCTATCTGTACACATTAATTTTATTGTTTTATACATGTATATACAAATGAACTGAATAAAAATGCATTGCATACATATTAAACTGAATTCATTTTTGTTTGGGATATAAAAATATTAGAAAGAGATTTTTCTCTGTCTATATATATATTTTTATGCTTATAAACAATTTCAAGATTTATCACTGTTCATAACAACCATGAATAAAAAAAAATATAATAAAATTGATGTTGACTCATTTTGGACATTTCACAATTAATCAATACTTCTTTATTTTTAATTCTTAAAAATATTCTCCAGAATTCCATTTGTATCCCTGGCCATAACAATTTTCATGTTTTGAAATTGATTCAAATTTTTTAAACATCCTATTACTACCATAATGTATTACTTAACATCATAATGATAACATGCAGCATGCTAATTAAGCTGAATGTAATTGGAATGATTAGTTACAAATGTAGTGAACTTATGGAATTACATTGACCAGCATATGTAAGAGAACCCTTCTTTAAGGGGCACCAAGGGGGAACAATATGCAAATTTACACAGAGAATAGCCTGTGCAACCCTGACAAACAAGGTTCCAAAATTAGACAAAGGCGCTTACGAAAAAGTCACGAATTGTCTAGGCAATACAGAAAGCACACAGAAAGGTTTTTTTGAATCTATATTTTTGTATGAGGCATGAATTATTGTCAAGTATAGAGTAGAATATAAAATAAATAGATTATGACCAATATACCACTGAAAAATGTTAGATACATGTACTTTTAGCCACCTCTGCAAAATAATATCAACACCTTTAGCCTGAGATAGAAAAATACAAACACCAAAAATAATACTTCAGTATGCTCTGTTCGCAAAAGTCATTCTCCATGCCATTACATGTGCATTTTATTTTAAACTGGTTACAAATACATGTTCAGGTTTACATGCCATACTGAGTACAGAATTTTAGTCGGTAATTTAATCAAATCATGTTAAAAAAAAAAATCATAATTTATAAAAATCTTCATTTCAAAAAGGGGGAACCTGCACATACTGTGAGATCACATGGAATAAAAAGTAACAGCATTGATGATACAATATGGTGGTACATTTCTTTACATTTTATTACACAATACTACAGTTTTCGTTTTTTTGGCTGCCTGCATAGACCTACATAGGAATTAAGTACACAGAGTTAGGAATAAGGCATTCATTCCAGAAAAATATGAAAGAATTTATCTCAATGTATGGAAATTAAACTATTCCTAATGCAGTCAATCCTTGATATTTTGAACTTGATGGGAAAAAAAAACTTCAAAACATTTGAAAATTCATGATACCAAGACTAAAACCATAAAAAATAAGTGGTTTATACTTCTAAATAACTTTGACATATTCATCCATGGTATTCCAGATATTGGTGTTAGAAATACAGAATTTCAAAAGTATTTATATAATATACTTCCAAAAGTTACCATCACAAAATGTTAAAATACATCACAGATACAAAATGGCATTAATAGACATTTTGAAGGCTACAGGTGAATATGAATGTCAATGAAGCATGTGTGTCGGGCCTGTGTGTCGTGCTGCTGTAAAAGCCACAACAATTCTCCGTTCATTCCCTGTAGCTTTTGTGGTCAACCTTTTTATGTCTGTTCTTTTCTGTGTGCTTTGAATACTCTGTCCCTAGTCATAAGATTTAAACTGTCCCTGAAAGTAGAATTTCATTTTTATCAGTTCAGAATATAAAACGAATTGCAGACAAGCAGCACATAACAAATAAATTGCCTTAAGGGGACGAAGGATGTATCGTCACATGACTCAGTTTAATTACGTCATAATCTCTGATAAAACATGTACAAAACAAGATTGAAACCACAGTTCTTGTTTAATTTTTTGACTGTTTGTTAGCTTTCACCATCTTGTAAAAGAATATTTTATAATAACATTCCTACTTTCTTGAAAATATTATCAAATAAGTGAGTAACTGAAAATATTGATCCACTCTTCTGTTTCCCTACACTGCGCGTCCAACGAGTCGTTGACGTCATAGTGGATCTCTTAGTACAGTAAGATTATACACAGTGAAACACAGGTATAGTGTGATATCATAAAAACGGGCCATGATCAGTACATGGTGGGGTATTATTTGAATTTGAGAACACAAAAATATTATTTAAATTGTTATTGACGGAAATATTTTGTAGGTATGTCTTATTTCACTTATTTCGCAAATGTGTGACGTCATAGTTAGGTTTTCCCGTACTCGAGAAATGTAAACACGACACATTTTTCTCATGTTCATGTCTTGTTTAACCATGTCCTGTACAATATTGAGCTCAGCTTCACTAATTGATATTTTTACAGTAAATCTATAACATGACGAACTTGAATTTCAATGTAAATTTTCAAATATTTAATGATAAGATTTTTTGCAAATTAAATTTTTTGTTCAAATTGTTGTTAAAGTTGTCTTAAAAAGTACGTAATTTTTCATCTCCAAATGTGGTGTGATAAAAGAATCTTGCTTTTTCGAATTTTTAACCCTATTCATACTCTGAAATATTTCAAAAGACACATTTCCGCTGACATATTTTTTATCTATGCTAAAAAAATTCAATAATCGACCGAGTGATGGGCCCAGAAACACAGAGAATCAAAACTCCGCTCAGACACTGTGGGGCATAGTATTTGTCATTCAATATCTCAGAAATAAGTCTAGAAACCTATTGATATATTTGCTTTATGGTATGTGGGACATACTAAATTAGAGATATACAAAATATGAAAAAAATTAAACGACAAGTATTTTTTCAGCTAAAGGTCCTTCTTTCCCTTAATAATATTGTATTGAGCCAGATTGGACAAAGGGGAGAGAAGATATGCTCCAAACAACGATTTTTCAAATAATTCCACTATGACCTTAACCTTTGGTCTAGAAACATGGTTCAAGGTCATTGCACACCCTTTACCCAAAGGCACTCTGTGAGTGAAGCATGAGCCTAATTGGACAAAGGGGAGAGAAGATATGCTTTAAACAAGGATTTTTCATATAATTCTGCTATGACCTTGACCTTTGACCTAGAAACATGGTTCAAGGTCAATGCACACCCGTTACCCAAAGGCACTCTGTGGGTGAAGTATGAGCCAGATTGGGCCAAGAAGAGAGAAGATATGCTCCGGACAAGAGATCTCGAATGGACAGAAAGACGGAAGGACAGCTAGACAGACGGACAGACTGATCACTATAGGGCGCACACCGAGCTGGGCACTAATAATTTCAAACCAAACTATTCTAAAACATAATTAGTGAGTGACAATCCTTCAAACATTTCCCAGACTTTGATAAGGTAACAAACGCTCAAACTTGAGTTACACTGTTAAATGTGTGTACAGCTATACATGCATAAAGCTCATCTGACTTACAGACATAAAATTACACCCCTTTAAAGCTTTCTTTGTACACATGAAGATGAACTGAATCATATTATATTTGGTGTAAGATATTTGATGTTTAATTTGTCAACAAGTTATGATTAAGCGCCATCTGAATGTGCTATTTATAACGAGGCATTTAGCGATGTACTAGATTTAGCAGATTTTACTTTCCCCCAAAATCGCTAAATAGAATACACTGCTAAATGTAATATGTTTACAGTATACATATAGGCAATTTGTATTCAACTTTCAGACAAACAAAGATATTTGTAGAACTGATATGTATGGCATGCCAAATTGACAAAAATGAGATAAACCTAGTTTCACAATTGATAAACTAGGTTTATCGACTGTAAACTTAGTTTACAAACCGTAAATTATGGTTAACAACGTTAATCTATATTTCACATCTGTAAACCATAGTTAACGCGATAATCTATGTTTCACAACCGTAAACTATACTTAACACCGAAAACAATCATTTGCGATTGCAAAACATAGATTATCTGATAAATACAGTTTCACGATTTGTAAACTATAGTTTACAAACCGTTAACTATAGTTAAAGATCTGATAAATATAGTTTCACAATTTGTGAAACTATGATTAACAACTCTTAACTATAGTTTACGATTGTAAACTATAGTTTACAAACCTGAATCTATGTTTATCAACAAAATCTATTGTTAACGCTTTATTACAGACAGATAAACTTAAATTAACATTCGTAAACTATAGTTAACAACCGTTAAATATAGTTTTACAGATGAAAACTATACTTAACGAATCGTTAACTATAGTTTACGGTTTGTAAACTATAGTTTACAGTCGATAAACCTAGTTTATCAATTGTGAAACTATGATTATCTCATTTTTGTGAATTTGGCGTGCCATAGATATGTACAAATCTGCCATCATCCATAAACAAAAGCTGAGTTGAGCACTTCACAATTTATATTTGACTTAAAGACAAAGTAAGATAAATACAGAACAAGAGACTCTGCAAGTGTTAATGAGGGTGCCACAATTACCGTATCTTTGGAGCATCAAGTTCTCGTACCTTGGATAATTTATAAAACTATGTTTTGGATAAAAATAAGTATATAATGATTGATTTCAGAGCAAATCAAAACGTTTCATGTATTAATCAGATATCTATAAAACAAGGCTCGATCTATACAAAGCATGAGATTCATGCAACATGCCCGAAAGCTTTGAATTAGTCAGACATGTCTAAATATTAGGGTATATACAAGCATGTGTACCTCTGGAATAAGTTTGTTCTCCTGAAAATACAAAAATCACTGTTAAACATTCTCCCTCCTCTACTGTAACAGTTTATACCAAAGGTTCTCTTTCTAATGTCTTCTGTTGTCCTATCAGATAAGTCTGGATATACTCGGGTGAAAACTCGATATAATACCCAATCAGATACTTCTGATATGTGATACTGAACATATCTTTGTGGTTAAAAATTTTTGTGCATATATAATGTAGCCGGTAATGTTAATTCTATAAAACATTGTATTATAGTCATGGTTCACTGACTATATTATTGTCAAGGTTCACTGACCTCATTAACTTCCTGGTTAGCTGATTCTTCATCATCATCAGTCGAGGAGTCACCGGAAGAATCGTCTATAGCATGAGTATCTACAAAAACAAATAGACAAACTGAAATCTATCATATATATATAGCGTGAGTATCTATAAAACAAATAAACAAACTGAAATCTATGATATATAGCGTGAGTATCTATAAAACAAATAGACAAACTGAAATCTATCATATATATATAGCGTGAGTATCTATAAAACAAATAAACAAACTAAAATCTATCATATATAGCGCAAGTATCTAATTCTATAAAACAAATAGACAAACTGAAATCTATCATATATAGCGCGAGTATCTATAAAACAGATAGACAAACTGAAATCTATCATATATAGCGTGAGTATCTATAAAACAGATAGACAAACTGAAATCTATCATATATAGCGTGAGTATCTATAAAACAAGAGGCCCATGGGCCTTATAGGTCACCTGAGCATTATGCAACAACTTTCCAGTGATTGAATTTGATTCATGTTTTAATCCAGATGCTATGGCATTCACAATTTTGAAAGAGGCACCATTGATCATCATAACAATACACTTAGCAGTTGCTTAGTTTGTTTACTTAATACCCATAGGCAGGGTAGGGGAACAAAAAATGCATGTCAAGTAATCAGTAATATTCAGCATGATCAGTAATGCCCCAATCACACATGAACCCCTGACCCTTAAGCCTAGATCCACACATTGCACAATTTTTGAAAAGGCACCCTTGCTTTTCAAAAATATTTGATTAATACCAAGGAGCAGATTTCAAACATTTCATCCAGTTTCAGTATATAAGTACAGCCCCCCCTCCTTTATGGTACCCCCGACCCTGGGGCCTTGAAATTCACAATTCTGGAAGATTAGGACCCTTGCTCATCATAACTATATAGGCAGTTCATCTGCTTAATACCAAGGAGCAGAGAAGAAAACTTTCAAAGATTTAATGTATTTTCACTATATACATGTAATCAATAGAGCCCTGCCCTATCACTAGAACCCCTGACCCTAGGGCCATAAAATTCACAATTTTGGAAGAAGTATTCTTGCTCATCATAACTATGTAATTAGTTTATTTCATTCCTAGGAGCAGAATTTTTTTTTTCAAAGAATTCATGTATTTTCACTATATAATCTATAGAGCCCCTCCCCCTTACACCAGAACCCCTGACCCTGGGGCCATAAAATTCACAATTTTGGTAGAGGCACTCTTGCTCATCATAACTATGCACTTAGTTAGTTTATATAATACCTATGAGCAGAAAAGTAGATTTTCAAAGAATTCATGTATTTTCACTATATAATCTATAGAGCCCCCCCCCTTACACCAGAACCCCTGATCCTGGGGCCATGAAATTCACAATTTTTGTAGAGGCACTCTTGCTCATCATAACTATGCACTTAGTTAAGTTATTTAAAACCCAGGAGCAAAGAGGAAGATTTTCAAAGAATTCATGTAATTTCACTATTATAATCTATAGAGCCCCACCCTAACACCAGAACCCCTAACCCTGGGGCCATAAAATTCACAATTTTGGTAGAGGCACTCTTGCTCATCATAACTATGTACTTAGTGGGTTTATTTAATACCCAGTAGCAGAGAAGAAGATTTTCAAAGAAATAATGCATTTTCACTATATACTTATTTAGCCCCGCCCTAGCACTAGAACCCATGACCCCGGGCCATGAATTTCACAATTTTGGTAGAGGACTCAATGCTGATTACAATCATGCAAACCGTTTGACTGCTTGATGTCCAGGAGTTAAGAAGAAGATTTTTAAAGATTTCACTAATTTTCGTGGTTTTTGCCCCACCCCCCCAGGCCCCAGGGGGGCAGGGACCATGAAATTCACAATTTTTGTTCCCCTTTACCCATAAATGCTATACCAAATTTGGTTGAAATTGGTTCAGTGGTTTCAGAGAAGAAGCTGAAAATGTTCAAATGTTAACGCACGACGAATGACGAACGACGACGGACGAAAAGTGATAGCAATAGGTCACCTGAGTTTACTCAGATGACCTAACAAATAGACAAACTGAAATCTATCATATATAGCGTGAGTATCTAAACAAGAGGCCCATGGGCCACATCGCTCACCTGAGTAACTTGGGTGATGCAGATCTTTACCAGATTCCCCCTCTTGTTATACCTATCATGCCCAACAACCCCTTTCCCTTTTTATTTCAAAACTTTAGAATCTACACTACCCAAGGATGCTTCCACATAAGTTTCAGCTTTCCTGGCCCAGTGGTTCTTGAGAAGAAGATTTTTAAAGATTTGTTCTATATATTTCTATGTAAAACTTGGATTCCCTATTGTGGCCCCGCCCTACCCCCAGGGGTCATGATTTTAAGAATTTAATATTTACACTACCCAAGGATGCTTCCACATAAGTTTCAGCTTTCCTGGCCCAGTGGTTCTTGAGAAGAAGATTTTTTAAAGATTTGTTCTATATATTTCTATGTAAAACTTGGATTCCCTATTGTGGCCCCGCCCTACCCCCGGGGGTCATGATTTTAACAATTTAATATTTGCACTACCCAAGGATGCTCCCACATAAGTTTCAGCTTTCCTGGTCCAGTGGTTCTTGAGAAGAAGATTTTTAAAGATTTGCATGTTATTAATATTTCTATGTAAAACTTGGATTCCCTATTGTGGCCCCGCCCTACCCCCGGGGGTCATGATTTTAACAATTTAATATCTACACTACCCAAGGATGCTTCCACATAAGTTTCAGCTTTCCTGGCCCAGTGGTTCTTGAGAAGAAGATTTTTAAAGATTTGTTCAGTATATTTCTATGTAAAACTTGGATTCCCTATTGTGGCCCCGCCCTATCCCCTGGGGTCATGATTTTAACAATTTAATATTTGCACTACCCAAGGATGCTCCCACATAAGTTTCAGCTTTCCTGGCCCAGTGGTTCTTGAGAAGAAGATTTTTAAAGATTTGTTCTATATATTTCTATGTAAAACTTGGATTCCCTATTGTAGCCATGCCCTATCCCCGGGGTTCACGATATTAACAATTTAATATCTACACTACCCAAGGATGCTTCCACATAAGTTTCAGCTTTCCTGGCCCAGTGGTTCTTGAGAAGAAGATTTTTTAGTGACCCCACCCTATTTTTGTCTTTTCTTGATTATCTCCCCTTGTAAGGGGACTTGGCCCTTCATTTTAACAATTTAAACTCCCCTTCACCCAAGGATGCTTTGTACCAAGTTTGGTTAAAATTGGCCCATTGGTTCTTGAGAAAAAGTCGAAAAGGTGAAAAGTTTACAGACGGACGGACGACGGACAAAATGTGATCAGAAAAGCTCACTTGAGCCTTCGGCTCAGGTGAGCTAAAAACAAACAGACAAACTGAAATCTATCATCATCTAAATATTAAATGGTCAAACAAAAATCTATCACCTAAAGCATAAGCTTAGAAAATAAATGGACAGACTAAAATCCATCATCTAAATAAAAGTGTGTCTACAAAACAAAGTGTCAAACTGAAATCTACTTGTAATGTACAGGTAAAAATTTCAAATGTAGTCACTGGGCAGCACGACATAAAGAATTATCACACAAAATGTACTCAATTTGAACTGCACTATGGGTAATTTTGACTATACAGTACAATACAAAATGTACTCCCTAATGTGAACTGCTCTGTGGATATTATTTACTACAGTACGATACAAAATGTACTCACTAGGAGCTGGTACTGCTAGCTTCGTGTCAGACAGAGTTTGATAACAGGTTAGACACACACGTAATGGCTTAGAGGCCTGTTGGGGTAGGAGCCACTTATTGCTGGAGCAGTCCTTACACACCACAATGCCACACTTCCTACAATGATGCTGAAATAACAACAGTAAACATTAGGTTTAAAATTAATTACAATTAGCAGATAAATAGGAAACTATTTACTAGACCATAACAGAGCTTAGACTATGTATTAAATTTAAATTATTGTTCATTTACAAAAACTGGTTGATTCAAAATTTAACGTTATAACTTGGTACATGTATTTAGTTGTTAGCATTTTCATGAATTAGTGCTATACACTTACACGCTGTATATTGTATTTATAAATGACTTTTTAGCCATATTCAAAGATTTTTTAGCCATATTCATTAAATAGCTCATAATTGTCCGTGCCAAAGCTGCTAAAATATATGGGATATAGTTAATGATTTTTTTTTTCTGGTAAGTTGTCCCCTTATAATAATAATAAATCCCCTTTCGAAATTAATGACACTTGTCCGTGCTTTAGTTTTTCTACATTGTACCAAAAAAGATTAAGAAATTCAAAATGAATAAATTCAATAAAACGGATTATGTTTATTTTAACCATGCTTGTCACACTGTGTTCAGCAAGCGTAAATAACAAGGTGACATGTTTGCTCAAAAAGTTTGTAACATTTGATAATTTAATCATATCATAGACAATTACATGTATTTTTTCCCACTCAGTATAATGCTTTAACCATTTAGAAGTTACATGTAAATATTCATCTTGCCCTTCAGGTTTGGTGAATACAGTACTCCTCAAGTGGCTAAATCAGCATATTGACTGAATTTTGCATAATGTCATCATCAACAATTGAAATAGAAAGAAATATTAACTTATAAACAATACAAGAGGCCCAGGGGCCACAGCGCTCACCTGAGCACATCGGGCTTGAATTTACTCCCCCCCCCCCTTCCAGGCGTTCATCATTTGAACAAACTAGAATCTAAACTACCTGAGGATGATTCCATAGAAATACCCCGGGTATCACTAATCATAGCTTTGAAGTACTTGAAAAGAAGATTTTAAAAGGTTTCCCTAAATATCCCTATGTAAAACTTGGGTCGGCCATTTTGGCCCCACCCTATCCCCAGGGCCGGGGGTCATGATTTGAAAAATCTTGAATCTACACTACCTGAGGATGATTCCACATGAGTTTCATCTTTCCTGCCCCAGTGGTAATTGAGAAGGATTTTTAAAGATATTTCCTATATATTCCTATGTAAAACTTGGGTCGGCCATTTTGGCCCCATCCTTGCCCCGGGGGTCATGATTTGAACAAACTTGAATCTACACTACCTAAGGATGATTCCACATGAGTTTCATCTTTCCTGGCCCAGTGGTTCTGGAGAAGAAGATTTTTAAAGATTTTTCCTATATATTCCTATGTAAAACTTGGGTCGGCCATTTTGGCCCCACCCTTGCCCCAGGAGTCATGATTTGAACAAACTTGAATCTACACTACCTGAGGATGATTCCACATGAGTTTCATCTTTCCTGGCACAGTGGTTCTGGAGAAGAAGATTTTTAAATAATTTTCCTATATATTCCTTTGTAAAACTTGGGTCGGCCATTTTGGCCCCACCCTTGCCCCTGGGGTCATGATTTGAACAAACTTGAATCTACACTACCTGAGGATGCTTCCATATGAGTTTCATCTTTCCTAGCCCAGTGGTTCTGGAGAAGAAGATTTTTACAAATTTTTCCTATATATTCCTATGTAAAACTTGGGTCGGCCATTTTGGCCCCATCCTTGCCCCTGGGGTCCTGATTTGAACAAACTTGAATCTACACTACCTGAGGATGATTCCACATGAGTTTCATCTTTCCTGGCCCAGTGGTTCTGGAGGAGAAGATTTTTAAAGATTTTTCTTATATATTCCTATGAAAAACTTGGGTCGGCCAGTTTGGCCCCACCCTTGCCCCGGGGGTCATGATTTGAACAAACTTGAATCTACACTACCTGAGGATGATTCCACATGAGTTTCATCTTTCCTGGCCCAGCGGTTCTGGAGAAGAAGATTTTTTAAAAATGCCATAATTTTTAACAAATTCATGATTATCTCCCCTTGGAAAAGGGTGTGGCCCTTCATTTGAACAAACTGGAATTCCCTTCACCCAAGGATACTTTGTGCCAAGTTTGGTTGAAATTGGCACACGGTTCTTGAGAAGAAAATGAAAATGTGAAAAGTTTACAACAACGACAACGACGACGACAAACAACGGACATATTTTGATCAGAAAACCTCACTTGAGCCTTCGGCTCAGGTGAGCTAAAAATCTTACCCGTCGGTTGATCAGGGTAAACTGGGACTTTTTACAATGCATGCATAGAGTGGCCTCGGAATCGGGCACCCACACCGGCGAATCATTCTCTGTGTTCTGGGTTTTGCCCTCTGGAATACAAAGTTCCTTCATTTAATGCAAAATCAAAGACAGGAATACCTCATTAATACAAAGAAGATTTTTATAGATGATATAACATTACAGAGCTCCTAAATGAACAACATATTAAACTAGAAATATGTCCATAGGACAAGTATAATGATAGTAATCACTAATGTAACATAAAGATTTGTATTAGTGTATATAGTTTGATGGGAATATCTTTCACATTTTCTGTAAAATTAAAATTCATGGAGGGGCATAAAAACAGTGAGTAAAGATTAAAGAATATACAAGTATTACAACTTTGTTTTTTATTACCCCCCTTAATGAGAATCCATTTCTTATTAAAGTCAAAGAAACAAACAAACACTGGACATAACTTACGTTTAATTAGGAGATCGTCCACACATTTTTTGATATGTGACATCCATTGATGTTTTTCTGTAGAAGTAGCTGCATATACAACAAAAGACTTGCTAGGGCTTATTAACTTCCAGCCATTCCGTAAAGCTGAAAAAATTATCATTATGTCAGTCAATACAATGAAAGTCAAAACAATTTCACCACGATTATTTTCGAATAAAATCAATAATACAGTTCATAACATTTCTTAACTTTTCTTGTAAACTTTTATTTTAAGAGTTTGTTCTGACTTAATCTTTTTTATTAATAAATGCAATAGAGCAAAGCTACTAAAGAAAGAGAATTTGAACTGTGCAGAAATGTGCTACACATATCTTAAACTTAAGTCAATGTGATAAAACAAGAATCAAACATTTACAAAATTAAAATAATTCTGCAAGTCAGAATTTTATCAAACATGAAATTAAAAGTGATCCATTGTCAAGGCATCATTAACAGTACCAACATTTCACTGGAGTTACCATCCAGGAAAGTCAACAACAAAAAAACTGGTGCATTTTTGTTTTATTTTTTATACAATGAAAAGGATGCTGAGGCTTTTTTTAATGAACGTAGATAATTGTTAGAGTGAATTATAACTCATTTTACAATTACATGTACTTTAAAACTAAGTATGATGTATTTATTTGCTAAATATCACAAATCATGACAATTTTGAATTTATGATATGCTATGCTTTTAACAGCTACCATACTTTATGATGTTTGATTGAACATGAAAATATCTACTGGGTACATGATTGTGTATTTGCATAGTAGCTGCTCTCTTCAGAAATGGATCTGCACCTGCGCTATGGTACAAGCTTGCTATTAGTAATTATTAACATAAATTAGGAAATTTATTAGTGAATTAACTAAATATCGAAAAAATCAACAGAGCTGTAAAACTGAATTAAAAATACCTTTGGAAGAATTCACTTTAAAAAATTTGGAAGCTACAAGTAGGTTATAAGATGTTCTATGACTATTTATTAAAGAACTCTGAAAATGGCTGTTTTAATAATAACTTAAGTAAATATTCTGATTCTCTGCATTGTTCCTCATTATAGACATACAATATATGTGTATAATTTTTGGTTCTGTACAAATTCTTCAACTTGACAAGCAGTTCTGCAGTTTTGCTACAATGATATGTTTAGTTTAGATATTTTATGTGCATTAAAACTTAAAAGTTTACTCAACATTGTAAACTTAAGCACACTGTTCCAATTCTTATTTATTTATATCCAAATATCCCATGCAATGATAGCCAAATTACATATGGTAGATATAGACGTATAACAATCTCTTGCATTATCTTTCTTGTTTATTTTCCCTATAACATAACATGAGCTGACCATTCCCCAAATTAAATATCTACCAGACACTGTTACTGTATATAGGAATGCTAAAATTTTAGATATTTAGATGTTGTATACATAGGTACTATTACTATGATAATACACTGTATATTCACCTCTGAGAACTATTATATATGCCAGAATACCAATATTGATATATTGAAGAAGTGAAATTTCACAACTTATCAACTAATCCTCTAAATCTAACTTTCTGTAAAACCAACAAATATGAGATTAAAAGTGGTACTTTTCTTGTGGATAATTGTCACAGTATAAGGTACCAGATCTATGACCTCAGTGTGTACATTTACAATGTAATTAGGTCAAGTTACTAAAATCAACCAACACAAAAAGTTCCACACCAGCAGTTTATGGTGAATAAGAAATGCTTTAGAGTAACAAGTGGAATATGAGAATACTACAAGAACACTACACAGCAGACCAAATCTCTACCTGGTTTGCCATCTTTTGTGTAAAAAGGACCTTAAAGGGACAAATCACAAAGCAATTAAAAAATCTAAGTCGTTGAGTCGTTGAAAAATCTTTTCCAAATTTTTACAGAATCTCGTTTGACAAAGCATCTTTCCAAATTTTTACAAGACATCAAACATTTGTCATGGAGACCATTCATAATTATATACATGCATATTAATTTTGTAAATCATAATTGATTTCTATTCCATGGTATTTTAAATCACAAAATTGTTATTTTTAGTATACAACATTAATAAACAGACCAAATGGCTTATAAATAATATACTCACTTCCTTCATCTTGAACATCTTCTAATTTTACATCTTCTAATGATATCACATGTTGTTGATTATACTGCAGAAAAATAAAAAGTGCACTGTGTACAAGAAGTGTGTTTCCTTCACTAGAGTATAGTAAGAAAATGGTATTGCTACCTTTACAAAACAAAAGAAAGGGAATCAACAAAGATGATCTAAAGGAATCATGTACTTTTGTTACAACAGAAATTCAGTTAAAGGGTTAAAAAAAGGAATCTTTTGACTAGAATGCATGTTCTTATTTTAAAATTTAACACAAGATTAATTTGATTTCAATAATCAAACCTTTTTACGGTTTATAACAATGTTGCCGTATACTAGAATGTCATTAAACAGGAAGAACTGTCGAGGTTTGGGTTTCTTTCTGCACATTTTGGTTAACACTCCCTCCCCCACTAAGGCCCGACCTGGGACATTCAAGGGCTGAAAAAGAGAGAAATATACAGCAAATTACTGTCAAAGGGCTGAAAAAGAAATATAACCCATCTTTAAAACTTTACTCTGGATATCTTGAATGCTCAGGTATTTTGAAGTTTTTCTCCCTTTTCCATTGAATTTGAGATTTTAAGTTTTGACTATATATTTAAAAAAGTATCAATCTCTAATCACAATGAAATATATGTTCTATCGATAAACTCCTATTATTTTGGTGTCCAGTCTTGTTTCTTTCCCTTAACAAGCAATAGTTCTTATGAAAAAAAGACAATATCATTTAGAATAGAAATCTGGAGACTAATGATGACTTTTTATTTCCAGTATATGCTTGAACTGTAACATTCTTTTGTAAGCATATTCTGATTTAACATTACTAATTCGTGACAATACAATGTTGTAAATTTATAATCTACTTGTACAATTTATAGATGTATATTTTACATAAAATTTGTGTGTGGTGAACTTTGTGCCTGACACCTAAATCTAAGTGGGAAGTGAAGTTTCTCTGAATTGGAGAGAGCTGGAGTACAATGTACCAACATTTATCTCCCGATTCACTTCCTGTTTTACAGATGTCTACAGATACATCACAGAACAATGAACCATGCTTTATATGGAGGGGGAGCAGTATGAATCACGGGCTGTGACTCACTCTCATTCTGAAATTACTGCTACTGTACATTTGACCATTTAATTCAGGGCTAGTAACAACTGATAAACTTTATGTTAACTCTTCATGTTTTCATTATTATTTTAATTTATTACTAGTAAATGCAGAGCAGTAAATGATTATTATGCTTTCTGGCAATGCTTAATAAAATTGAAAAGGTAAGCCTAATTTTACCTGATTTAACACCTATTTATATAGCAATCATACCATGTAACCAAGAAGTGAAAAAAAAAAACTTTCTGTGAATCTAAAATTTCTGTTTGCTTATTAAATGTTAACTTTAATGACCCATTATGAAACTCTCAACCCCTAGATAATATTTAAGACATGGTAAATGACAATAAAACCCCTTCAAAATATGATTATAAAAGCATTCTTTACAGTAATATAGGACTGCTGGAATTCACGCTAACTAACTTTATCAAAGACATCTTGTAGTTTGGTTTTATTTGAAAAAGTGTCTTACAATAACAATGCAACTGTAATATGAGAATTTTTATGTGATAACCTGATACACTGACATAGTTACACATACCTGTCCTGAAGCCCCAAAGCACTGCTCCACATACGCTATCCGCCGACCGTTGGCCTCTGATTGCACTATTAAATACAAGAAGATTTGAATAATTCAATATAAATTCAAAATGCTTCAATGTAAATTAATGTCAGTTTCTAAAATAACATGATAAGGCCCTTCAGTGTTGAGTATTAACTGCAAGTACATCAATAGATGAATACAAATTACTTAACATGACAAAATTGAAGGCAGAAAAATAATAACCTAAATTTACACTGAAAACATAGCACAGGGAAAATAAATCATGGGTCACAACACTCACCTGCACACTGTGGTAAGGAAAAAAGCAAAAATCAGTTGACTATTGAAAAGCTTAAATGCACAAGTAGTCCCTTAACCGTTAAGAGAGGGAGGGGGTATAGATTGAACAAGCTTGAATCTACACTAACTAAAGATGCTTACATATTTCATTGACTAACTAATGGCTTTTCTTATAAGTTTTAACTTGATAATTTGAACAAATCTGAATCTACACTACCAAAGGATGCTTCCATATAAATATGACCAAAGATGGCTTTGCTGTTCTTTACAAGATTCTTTTTAAAAATCCTATTATGGATAAATTTGCTTGTCCACTGTGGCCTGCACCCTACCATGAGCTGAGGATACATCCAACGAGATAAAAACCAATCATGGCTTTGCTGTTCTTGAGATGAAGATTTTCCCTATGTACACTTAATATGTTAAACTTTGATCATCCATTGTGACACCACCCTACCCCTGGGGGTCATGTTTTGAAAAAAAAATTGAATCTACATTACCTGAGGATGCTTCCAAATAAATACGACGAAACAATGCTTTGCTATTCTTGAGAAGATGATTTTTCCTATGTAAAACTTTGATCATCTTTTGTGGCCCCATCCTTTCCCCGAGGCCAGTCATGATTTGAAAAAATTTGAATCTACACTACTGGAGGATGCTTCCACTTGAGCTTCCTCTTTCCTGACACTGTATTTCTTAAGAACATTAAGATTTTTAAAAGATGCTATTAACTTTTCACTAATCTGTAATTATCTCCCCTTGGATGAGGATGTGGCCCTTCGTTTTCACAAATTTGAATCCCTTTCTTCCAAGGATAATTTGTGGCAAGTTTTGTAGAATTTTGTCCAGTGGTTCTTGAGAAGATGTCAAAAATGTGAAAAGTTTACAGATGGATGTCGGAAAAAATTGATCAGAAAAGCTCACTTGAGCCTTCGGTTCAATAACTAGCATTCATGTTATTGTGAATTTGAACAACCATAATCCATGTCCTATTTGTCACTGTGAGCTCTAAAAACAATATCTGGGCGAAGAGAAAATTCAGACTTTGCACATTGATCCAAATGAAATAACAGTAACCTGTGGTCTCTTAAGCTTTGAAAATTGTATGATCTCGTTGTAAACTACATACTAGCAGTAGCAACTAAAGTTAAATAAAAATAAAATCACATTGATTTTATGGATTTTGCAGGAAAATAGTAGATTATTAAACACTCATTAAAATTAGCACTGAATTCAACTCGGTTTAGTAATAGCGAGCACAGCGAGGCGGCACAAAGCGCCATTTGTGTAGCGAGCTCGATAGACTAACGTGTAGTACGAACGGAGGAAATTCAGTCTGAAATCTGCACATTGTTCCAAGAAATTTTTATCAGTCCACGTGAAAAAAATTCCAAATTCCCAATAATCATTTGCGGTGCATAGCAAAATGGTGGCTTAAACATAGCAACATCTCACTGGAAAAAAAAATTACAAACAACGATTTTATGCAATTTCCATGCCACAAAACTATCTTTTGCGTCCTAAGTCAACAGCCAACATGACTTTTTACTTGATGTCATACTTTCATCACTCAAATGGCTTGGGTATTTCAAAATCTAATTTTGTCGGAAACTTCCGAGTTTTATAAGTATAAACCTGCACTCGCCCAAACGGTCACACCATAAAACATATTACAACTTATATGCGATGTCATGTGGCTTCAAAGTCTTGACTTTCCAAATATGTCACATGTGGTTAGAAGAGAAGGAGGTAAATATTCATACATATCAGACATACTGTAGAACTGTTGTTTAAAAAAAAGTAAAATAAAATCTTTTAAATTTTGTAAATTATCCTGTTTTTCACCCTGTGACATCAAGAATCATAAATCAAGCCCTTATTATGATTATTCTTATTACATATTTGTTTTTAATTTAATACCCTGTACAAGATAACATGGTTAATCAGCTGATTGGAGATATGGCAAAATTAAGTTTCAGCGGTAAGAAATTCTGCTCTCAAAACCAGTGTGTTAAAAGATTGTTCATTTCAAATGAGTGAGACGCTCAAATGAACATGCTGACAATAAGTAAAAGATAGTACAAATAAACATCCTCTATAATAATTAAAAGTTAACAAACACTGATCTGATTCACCCACCCAATCGATCCACCATTTTCACGTTTTGGAATGTTGATCCCGAATGTATTGAATCTGCCATATAATGTCACCATTATTTTATGAAAAATATGAACACAGGTGTGAAAATTTTATAAATCAATAGCTGAAAAAATATATCAGGTGTATCAAGGTTGTATAAAGACGAAAATAACTATGCCTCATAAATAAGATAATAATGATCGGGTTCGTAATGTAAAACTCTTAAGAAAATCATGTGACAGAAGGTCAAGGCCAAACATCATCTGGTCATAGAGTCAAAGGAATCTGGTTGTAAAAAGCAAGATGAAGTGTCCAATTTGTGGCCCAAAGTTGTCGATATGTTGCTCTCTTTTGAGTATCTGGGGAATAGTTATGTTGGTAAGGGTGTATTTAATTTCCAAAATTCGAAATATATCTTAATGAGCAAAAATATCAATATTTGATTCTAACTTGGTCATTAGAGAAAAATCAAACACATTTAGAACGTTTGAAGGAAATAGGGAACATGAACTCCATTTTAAATAAAAAATATATTTAAAACCCAATTGCCTGCGGTTATGTAACAGTCACATCATTTACTTTGATGATGTTATTCATTTGTTTCCTTTTTAGCAACAAAATATTGTACCAACTTGAAAGGGTTTCCTGGTTTTTAGTTAACAGTCCATAGTCAGTTCACAGCTTTAAATTGTTGTTGTTTTCACACAATGCGGTAATGTATACTGTAGGATGCCTTATTCAGGACTTACAGTATATGTGATAGCTCTTCAACCACTACACTCATTGTAAGATCCCTAGGCCAAAAGAAAATATACTGTTGTTTCCTGTCCCCTGACCAAAAAAATGCAGAACATATAGCATGTAATAACAAGAAAATGATATGTTTACAGTTTACAGAGCAAGTTTGTTGATAAAAATTTATAAAGTAAAGGTATCCTGTGCACTTGTGATGTATTAGTTCTGTAGATATTGTTGGCCAACTTTAGTATTTTAGGAAAATAGTCACCTAAGAAATGAAAATGTAATAAAATTTTTTAGGGTTGGAGGGTAAAATGTAGGGTAGGTCGGGTGACAGGAAACAAGAGTATTTTTTATTTTGGCCTTATTCAGGATGGACAGTGAGTATAGCAGCCTGGACGGACTGGTCAGCCAATGCAGACGAGACACAAGAAAGTATGGCTAGCCTCAATATTGGAGGTCAACCAAGTTTGTGGCAGGCTTTAACTGGGTTGGCCTTCCAAATTCACTAACTGTAAAACAGGCGAGGAATGTATCACACGAATTCTTATTTCATGACACTTGTCTTTTATCCTTGGCCGCATCCAACTAACTACCACTGATCACTGGGGAGTCTTGGTATTTATACACAATAAATGTCACGTGATGTGAACATTGATTTATTAGGAACCCTGCGTGGTCGAACCTTAGAATCCCGAAATCATTACAATAATATCCATTGACTTCTGAAATGTAAGGACTCAATGTCTACATGTACATACACAAGATAGAATATTTCACAAGTTTACCCTTTAATGCCTGACCATTGACTTGATACTGAAAAAAAAAAATCAAGAGGATTGATAACTTTAAAACCTAAATCTGTCTTTTGAACCAGTAATAAATGTACAGTTAATAAGACAAAAGATTTTCACCAATAGCCCAGTTAAAAAGAAAAATGAAAAAAATAAAATATCAAATTAATGAGATGATAAAAATGTTTGGAAATGTCTATTAGTATGACTGTGATGTTGATAATTTTCATTTTCAGCTAATTTTTGCAAGAAACAAGACAGATAATGCATACTACAAGTACATTATGACAGTCATCAGCACATACTTTAAAAAATGTTATACTGTAGACGTACTTTTTTCCACCGGGTCATAATTCTGCGGAATCTCAATTTCTGTTTAATCTACGGGTAGAAAATTACGTGGATTTCTTAGACTGTCGCTATATGCCTTACATTTTTAATGAGTTCGCTTGGACAAATTTCTGCGGAAAATTTGTGACCGCGTACATAGCGTAAATTAATACCACGCGGAAAAAAGTACTTCTACAGTATTTAAATTGCAAAACAAATATGAACACTCCTGTAAATTCACTTTTATCTTATATGTGTGTATAAAAGATATCCCGCCCAAAAAAGAATGGTTAGAATTTTGAACTGTCAATTTGAATGTAAAGGAATTTATTGTTTTTTAATGATTTGTAAATGTATTGATATTTTATAAATTCTGTTTATTTAGGGACTTTTAGGAGTTTTCTACAAAATCCACAGTGTGGCTTTATTTGAGGATCTCCCTATAACTTCAGAAGACTGGAAGAAAGACAACTACACATTGTCTGTGATTCACGAAAAATATGACCAGACAGCTTACAATTGTTTTGTAGCCGCTGGGATTTACGTTCTCTGCTTCTTTTTCTCCTGCTGTCAACAGAGGATGGGATCAAAATCCAACTACGAGATGTCGTAACGGATTCTTACGGGGGGACTCTCTCAGCAAACAATCCTAGTCCACTGTGTATGTGTAGGAACAATAATCAGTCTGTATTTTAAGTGGTTTACATTATATATCGGTTAAATCAAACTCTATGAACTGTGTACTTGAAGTATTGAACAAATGGAAAATCTCTGTTATGTAAGTCAGGGTCACAGGGGTTAAAATTGAATTGTCATTCCAGAGACTATACACTGAACACGGCATTCCATTGTTTCATGCCATGACCTCATTTTAAATGTATACTTTTGACAATTATTTATTGAAATTGTATTGCGTAAACCACGACCTTTTTTTCATGAAATGATGGTTCCAAAATAAATGTCCCAAATACATGTTCAAATTTTAGTGGTAGCAGTATAGTCTGTACATATTTCTGTTGTAATCAAGATGTTAAAAAGTTTGTAAATATTACTGGGTGAACAATTGTGTGGTGATTATTTCCTATGTACATGTTACAAATGACTTTGTGATCTAGATGTAAATGATGATAAATTAGTGCAAGTGGTGTTAAAATATGAAATAATAAAAATATTATTCAGAGGAACTACAGTTTATTTAAAAAAAAACAGTCAAATCTTGTTATCTCTACTCAGTATAGGACTGAGAAATTTTTTATGGTAATTAAGTCCATTCCAAATTTTTCTATGTTTAGCATCTGATTCTGTGGAGAAATTGGTTTTGAGGTTTTGAAATTTGAAAACAAACATTAGAAATCAACAGTATAAATCTTTGTAATGCACATTACTAGTACTCTCACAGGATAGATACCCTTATTTGGTGATGTACCAAAAGCTTGAAAGATAGTAGTTAACTTTTAACATTGCGAGGGACTGAGAAACTCAAATGATGATGAGAAATTCTACAATTGTTCTCATAATGTTTTTTTTTCCCCTTTTGCTTCGTATTTTTATACCCCCCGCAAACGAAGTTTGGAGGGGTATATAGGAATCACCTTGTCTGTCTGTCTAGCTGCCTGTCTGTCCGTCTGTCTGTGCAAACGTGTGACCTTGACTGTGATCTTTGCTAACGGAGGGACATTAGAATTTACTCCACACAAAGATTGCCCATGACCTAAGGGTGTGTCTGACCTTAACCCAAAGTCATTTGGGGAACTTCAAGGTCACTGGAAGAAAAATTTCATAATTCCTGTCCGGTCCATATCTTTCTTATGGATAAACTTGGTAGGTTCTCATTTCACACAAAGATTGCCCATGACCCAAGGGTGTGTCATGACCTTGACCCAAGGTCATTTGGGGAACTCCAAGGTCACTGGAAGAAAATTTCATAATTCCTGTCCGGTCCACATCCTTTTTATTGATAAAGTTGGTAGGTTCTCATTTCATGCAAAGATTGCCCATGACCCAAGGGTGTGTCATGACCTTGACCAAAGGTCATTTGGGGAAGTTCAAGGTCACTGGAAGAAAAATTTCATAATTCGTATCCGGTCCATATCTTTCTTATGGATAAAGTTGGTAGGTTTTCATTTCACACAAAGATTGCCCATGACCCAAGGGTGTGTCATGACCTTGAACCAAGGTCATTTGGGGAACTTCAAGGTCACTGGAAGAAAAATTTCATAATTCTCTTTATTATGGAAAAACTTACTTCTGAAAAACCCAGCGGGGGGTATTTTGTCCCATTTGGACAGTTCTAGTTTTTTAGCTCTACTGGTCAGAGACCAGAAGAGCTTATGCGATAGTAATGCGTCCGTCGTCCGTCCGTCTGTCTGTCTTTTTCTGTCCGTCTGTAAACAATTTTTCAAAATGCTACTCCTCCTACAGTTTTGGTCTGATTTCAATATAACTTGGCACACAAGTAGACTACACTAAGATACGTAATTCTGTGTATCGCTTTTTGATTTCGATGAACGGTGTTGCCGTTGTTACTAAAAATAGAATTTTTTGTGAAAATCATTCAAAATGCCACTCCTCCTACAGTTTTGGTCAGATTTCAGTATAACTTGGCACACAAGTAGACTATACTAAGATACATAATTCTGTGTATCGCTTTTTGATTTCGATGAACGGTGTTGCCGTTGTTACTAAAAATAGAAAAATTTGTGAAAATCATTCAAAATGCTACTCCTCCTACAGTTTTAATCTGATTTCAATATAACTTGGCATACAAGTAGACTACACTAAGATACATAATTCTGTGTGTCGCTTTTTGATTTCGATGAACGTTGTTGCCGTTGTTACTAAAAATAGAAAAATTTGTGAAAATCATTCAAAATGCTACTCCTCCTACAGTTTTAATCTGATTTCAGTATAACTTAGCACACAAGTAGACTACACAAAGATACATAATTCTGTGTATTGGTTTTTGATTTTGATTAACGGTGTTGCCGTTGTTACTAAAAATAGAAAAATTTGTGAAAATCATTCAAAATGCTACTCCTCCTACAGTTTTAATCTGATTTTAATATAACTTGGCATACAAGTAGACTACACAAAGATACATAATTCAGTATATCAGTTTTTGATTTCAATGAACGGTGTTGCCGTTGTTACTAAAAATTTAAAAAATTTGTGAAAATCATTCAAAATGCTACTCCTCCTACAATTTTAATCTGATTTCAATATAACTTGGCATACAAGTAGACTACACAAAGATACATAATTTTATTTATCGGTTTTTGATTTCGATGAACGGTGTTGCCGTTGTTACTAAAAATAGATTTGTGAAAATCATTTAAAATGCTACTCTTCCTACAGTTTTGGTCTGATTTCAATATAACTTGGCACACAAGTAGACTACACTAAGATACATAATTCTTTGTATTGGTTTTTGATTTTAAAGAACGGTGTTGCTGTTGTTACTAAAAGTAGAAATTTCTGTGAAAAACATTCAAAATGCTACTCCTTGTACAGTTTTGGTCTGATTTCAATATAACTTGGCACACAAGTAGACTACACTAAGATACATAATTCTGTATATAGGTTTTTGTTTCAATGAACGGTGTTGCTGTTGTTACTTAAAAAAGAAATTTCTTTGAAATACATTTAAAATGCTACTCCTCCTACAGTTTTGGTCTGATTTCAATATAACTTGGCACACAAGTAGACCACACTAAGATACATAATTCTGTGTATCGTTATTTGTCATTATTCTATTTATTGCTTTTGTAAAGTTTTATATCCCAACTGCTACTTTTCTCTTTCTTTATTATAAGTACAAACCAGTAGAGCTTCAGTCTCGACAGAGACTTCTGGTTCTAAATAGAAATACTGTTTTTTGATTTAAGGATAGATGCCTAACGGGGAAAAAACTTGGAATAACTTAACAAGGATTCAAGAAATTTAGGTTTAAATATACTCACAATTATGAAAACATCATATCCTATTTAAGATTTATTTGCCAGTGAGGTACTGATGTTAGATATACCAAAGTCTTGTGTTGCTGTTTAACATTCCTCTTGAAAATTTTTCACTGGTATGGAGATACCACTACTTGCCGGTAGAGAGTTGCAATTTTTACTTATACTCAGAATTGGGGGCATTGAGCAGTAAGGACTTATCTATTCACTATTGGTGACCTTTAGATTAAGATGATCTATGATCTATGAGCAATTATGACTAATTAAGCAAGAGATACTTGTAAAACACTACTGCCCCCCTCCTCAAATAATTGGAATTTTTCTAAGTCATAGGGGCACAACTCTGTCAGAAATGGCTCGATTGTACCAAAAACAGAAATTCCCCTAGATATTCTTATAAATCTGTTTAATTACCCAATTTCATTTCAGTATGTGCAGCCTCAGTGAAGAAAATGAATGGAAACGGCTAATTGAAATTTTTCTAAGTCCAAGGGGCATAACTTTGTCAAAAATGTCTCTATCATACCCAAGAAAGAACTTGACCAAGATTCTGATATTCTTATGATAAATATGTATACAAAATTTCATTTGAGTATGTGCAACTGTTGAGATGAAAATGAAAAGAAACTAAGTGGACCGACAGACAGACTGACTGACCAACAGACAGCAGCAAAGCAATATGCCCTCCTGTCTTTGAAGGGGGCATAATCAGGGGTATTGGTAAAATTCTGTTTAAGTCATGATAGATATAAGATGTTCGTAAAACACTTATGCCCCCCTCCCTCTGTAAAAGGGCATAACTCTGTCAAAAATGATGCGTTCATATCCAAAACAAAACTTGACCTAGATATTTATCTGATAAATGTGTATACTAAATTTCATTTCAGTATGTGCAACGGTTTCTATGAAAATGAACAGAAACTGCAAATAATTGGAATTTTTCCAAGTCCAAGGGGCATAACTCTGTCAAAAATGGCGCAATCATACCCAAAACAGAATTTGACCTAGATATTCATCTCATGTATCTGTATACCAAATTTCATTTCATTATGTGCAACGGTTGTGAAGAAAATGAATGGAAGGGGCGCATAAAAAGCAATATGCCCTCCCTTCTTCACACAACATGTTTTTCTCAGTTATTATGGACTTGATACATGAAGACCTTATTGGGCTCTTGAATGTGCAATGAAGATTATGGACTTGATGCATAAAGACCTTGTTGGGCTCTTGAATGTGCAATGAAGATTTTGGATTTGGAATTTAGTCCTAGTACTTAAGCTGCTTAAACACCTCAAAAGACCATTAAAACATCATACATTGAAACCTCTAAATATATCAGAGGTGGGATCAGATGCCATGGAGGAGTAAGCATCTTCTTAGTCCAAATCTGTGGCCCAAAGTTGAATCTGTAAGGGACTTATATTTCATGAGATGACTAGAGGGCACTATTTCTGTGTTCCTGGCAGCTAGATGTCCTGGAGAACAGATGAAGTTTTTTGTGATATCATATACATGTACAACATTTCCATTATATGATCAACTCGACCTTACCTAGACCTATCTCTAGACATCACTACACAAGGCAATGATAACAATGTGAATTTCAGTGGCGGATCCAGAAATTTTGAGACGAAGGGAGGGGGGGGGGGGTTCCAGCTGGATCTGCCTTTGAATTTCACATAATATGATTCAATCTATACATCTTGCCTGTATACGTTCCTCTGTTTCACTACCTAGATGTTCATGAGCTCCTACCTGGATCTGCCATTGCTTTGTCCAACTTTTTCATTAAAAAATAACAAAATAGGGAAATATTATGATATATCTTTATATAAACACACCATGGCAGTTTAAGTTATTGTTGCACTCATATTAAATGATTTTAGAAGATACCCATATTATAACACAAATCATCAAATGAGATACCAATATATGTATAAGAAACAGCTTCAACAACAAGAAAAAAAAGTGTAAGGAAAATGCCCCGTTTGTTTTGGTACAAAGTTATATATAACAATATTTCTAAACAATTAAAAAATGAACAAAGAATATGGGCATCATGTCCAAGGTAGAAAGTTACAATACATAAAAGTGCCAACAACAAAATAAATCAGAAAATAAGCCAAAATTAATTTAGTAACAAATGTTTGCTGGCTGAAATTCATGATCTGGTCTGTGATGATATTTTTCACTGAGTGCTGGAGATTCTCTACTCTCTCCACGTTAGAAATGTCCTCGGATTTTTTCATGACGTCATACTTGTTCCTGACGGGAACCTTGGTCTGAGTCTCCCCTGTTGTACAGTAGGCCGAGAACCAGTACAGAACGGGCGAGGCCGAAAACAGCAGTCTTGTCAGCACCTAACCAAAAGAACAGTAACAGGTATATATATCTGGAAAATCATTTTAAACATAAGTATCTAAAAATAGCTTAACAGCATGTTATTTACATTTTATATAAATGATTTTAAACAGTGACTGACTATTTTAGTATTATATTTAATATGAAGTTCATATAATAAGAATCAAATCTATGAAGATTTAATTGATTGAAATTGGTTAATATGTTCAATATTAAAATTGTTACATGCCATGATATATGATTAACTTCAACTTTCTTCTCTGATGCAAAAAAAATATTATTTTGGGCATTGAACATATCAAAGTAAGTAACTCTTACTATCACAATTATGCATTGTTGTAATACCTGAATATGAACAAATATCCACCCAAACACTGTCAACACCAGAATATGGCCGACATAAGGAAGAATTCGGTGATTATTCCAAACACATCTGCCTCCTTCATCACTTTTTTTAAAATCTGATATTTCTGTCTCAATTCCAAGAGTGTGGCATGTCCTCTTGTTCCATTTGTAATATGACAACACACAACCAATGCTAAGTAAAGTCACTGGCATGGCGAGTAAGAAATTTGGAATTTGTTTAAATTCATAATATTTCATAAACCCTACCCCCCAATGAGAACTCTGCACATAACCATAAGATAAAGAGATGGAGGAGTTACACCAGGGAGGTATATTTTCTCCTATAATATGATAGTCTCTTTCTTGCCCATACACAATCAAAAAGTCAGGAATGTCTAACAACTTGCTGCTATCGGTTTTACAAAACATTGCATTGATGTAATAGGTTTGATATAAAATAAATGGCACAATGAACAAAGATATGAGAATTAACAAATATATCAACTGCACAAGAGCAATATTTAAATAGGAAAAAAATCTAAAAGACAGGGAAATATTTTTGCTATCCTCTTTAGAAAAACCTGATATGAAAGTCTTAAGATTTTTTATCAAGAAAATAAAACTCTCATAAAGTATAAACCCAAAGTTCATCAAGCCATTAGATCTAGCTAGTGTGCCTAAAGCAAACCAGAAGACACTTGATATCTTACTACTGCTTTCAAAATTTACAAGTCCATTTACCACAAAGAAAAAGTATGAAATTTCAGAATAAGAAGCTATCATAAATATGCTGGCTGGGTTTATACAAAACAAGAGGCAAGCTTTGTATGCTATATATGTGTTTCCTAAAACATTACAACCAAGTCTAAATAATAATTTCACTGTTAGTATAAACAGAAACACATTGCAAAATAATGCTGAAATCATTAATACATTTCTGTAAATTAATAAAAACTGCAAAGGATAAAACAGGGTATTTGCAGTGACTCTGACTAAAAAAGGAAACAAAGGGAAAAATGCTAGACTGTTTTGATAAATATAGCCATGCTCTGCTATGTGCATGAAATACACTGCATCCCAGCGATTAAGTCCACTTAATGCTCTTTCAGCAATTTTGTCCACAGCTCCACTTACAACAACAGAGTTTGTTGGAGGATTGAAAACATCTGCATCGTGGTCAGGAAATAAAGTATTAAACACAATCTAAAATTAAAAGGGAATAATCAATATTGATATTTTACTTCATCTCTATATCTACTTCTAGATTTTTTTTTACAAATTGAACACAAAAGTATATCAGTACATTATGCAAATTTTTCAAGAACAATTCCAGAATATGTATAAATCAATCAATGTAAGGATATGCTGATGACACTAACCATGCTAACTACTTTATCATGATCTTTCCACTACATGTCTATTCTTTCTTTAAACAGGTTCAATCCAAGATCAATTTTTACCCAAGTAGCTGCTGTTTAGATAGCTATAAACCCTTTTCCTTTGACATATTTTGCCTAGGAGTTATTCCCCTAAGTCACCATCTTGTAGGGCAAAGTAGTGAATTTACCTCTTTGAGCAACTAATTTTAAACATGCATGCAAGAAATTTATGGGGAAAAATATTCACAACCTTATAATCATGAATTAATTGAGGCTTTAACAAACGTATAATCATAAGAAAAATAGCATTATCTTTACCCCAGTAACCAGTATAACAAATTGAACTTGGTTGAATAATGAAGGGATCTGGGAATGTTGCCCTACAAAATGGTGGCTAAGGGGAATAACTCCTAGACAAAATATGTCATAGGAAAAGGGTCTATTCCAAAGTGCAAATCAGATCAGACTTGTTTTTTATTATGTTGTGTGCTTGCAATGTCAAAATTCAGGGTAAATTAGTAATTTTAAACAATGAAGTATGGAGAACAGACTCAGAGATGAAATCCATGTAAAATCATATATTAAAAAACTTTTATCTAAAACACATGAAGGCAAGTTTAAAAACATATACAGATCATATTTTTACTTGAGTTGCAATAGCATTACAAAAAAATCAAGCTCTTGTTTTCTTGGCATTTAATGAGGTTCGCTCCTCAGCTTTTCAGGAGATTTTTGTTGAGACCTCTATTTAAAATTTTTTTACATGTTTTAGTTCTTTAATTACAATAATTTTGGATTCTATAATGCTAATTAAACTATATTCAACTAAAACCCCATGATTAAATTCCATACCGAAAACTGTTTTTCTTGACAAAATTTTGAATTGACATTTTGAGATGGAAAAAAAGAAGACTGTTTGATTCAATAATTCATTTACTAAGATAAAAAATATCTAAGGAAAAACTTTTAAAAATTGATTATACTGTTAGACTTACTTACAGTGTAAAAAGGTCATATTAATTGTTCTATAGTGTTAAAAGAAGCACACTGACATTTTTCGTTTTAATTTTTTTTAAAGTTATGTGTGTAGATTCTAAAAGTATACTTCACAAAAATTTCTCAATATAATTTTGATAACAGAAACCAACCACCTTAACCACATGCATCCACCAGTTTCACTATGTGTAATGAAAATGTAGGAAAAAGTTTTTTTTTTTTAAAAAAAAAAAAAAAAAAAAAAAAAAAAAAAAACGCTAAAATATGAAAATACCTGTAGAAAAAGTAAAATACAACGAGTCTGAATCGCAAATATTGTAATTTTTCTTTCCAGTCTATCAAGAACAGCCATGTTGGCTGTTGAGCCGAAATGAATTTATAAAACGAGAAGTGATTGGATCTCGCTAGTACAAGCGTTCCCATTGGACAATTTTCAATCTGTGTTAAAAGTATGCATGATTTGTTGTTGCATTTGTACCTGGAAACAAACATTTGTGTGATCAAGTGAAAAGTGAAGCACACAATATCAATATGAGAAAGGTTTGTTAAGTGAAAATTGCGATACAACTATATTATGCATAATAATACAACTTTAATATACATAATATCACGTCAATAGTATCACTCTCTCTATTACATGCATCAATGATTGAAATGTGTTAAATCTGTGGAAGTTGTGCTGCAAATAAATGTAAACATATACACAATTATTGTGGATAGTTTAAATTACTTATTTTAATAATATGTTGACGGTGCAACCGTTAGAGCGAGCGCAAACTCTTCTATTGTTTTAATTTAGATTTTACTCGTCAAACCACGTACATAATGCGTATTTCTGACGTCACATGACGTCAATGTAAGTTACAAATACCAAAAAAAAAAATGAACAGTGCTGAAAGTTAATGAAAAAAGTTACGTTTACAATTTTTTTATGTATCCATTTAATCAAGGCGAGTAAACTTTTTGTTGAACATTTGCCGTCATTATCCGAGAATAGCTTTGCTTAAGTGATGCATTGCAAAATTACCGTGGCAAAAAATTCTAAAGAATGAATGTGTTCTGAATTTTCTCTTAAAAGCGTTCGTTAATTCAGTTACGAGCGTCACTTCGCTTGCTGCGCTCGCTATAAGAAAAAAAAAACATTGAATGATTTTTATGGATTTTACTGGTAAAACACATTTATATAATGAAGTATTTCTACAACCCAATTAGTTAGAATAATCTAACTGTGTCTCGGTACAAGCCCTAAACCGGGTCCATAGAACAATATCATTTTAAACAGGTTGGGACCAATCGCCCAAATGGGATATAATAGTCCGTTTGGGATATAATATCCCAAATGGGCTATAAAGATTTTACAGTGCAAAAATTGAAAAATTTTATTTTGGCTATAAGTATCATAAATCCGCAACAGGACACTTAAAAAGGAATAATTTTTGGTTGACAAGTTTTCCTGTATGCGCAATGTTTAGGAGATTGATCCCTCGGAAGTTCCTTAACTTCTTGGGGATCAATCCTACAAATGGTAGGGTTGCAGAAAAACTTGCTTACCAAAAGTTATTCCTTTTTAAGTGTTTTGATGCGGATTTATGATATTGATTGCCAAAATAAAAAAACTGGGATATTATATCCCAAATGGACTATTATATCCCATTTGGGCGATTGGTCCCAACCTGTTAAAGATAGAACGTTCTATCTATACAACCCAATATGCCATTAAAGATTTGTGTTACGTAATTTTCAAGTTTTTCTCTGTTTAGACACAAAGTAGAAGATGAAGGGAAAGGGGAAAACTGCTAATGACAAAGACTGTCCTCTGCAGTTCCCTGACCTAGAACCAGTGGACCATGTTACCCAATGTCCAAAATACACACATAGTAAGTACTAAAACTAGTGGACCATGTTACCCAATGTCCCAAATACACACACAGTAAGTACTAAAACCAGTGGACCATGCCACCCAATGTCCAAAATACACACACAGTAAGTACTAAAACTAGTGGACCATGTCACCCAATGTCCCAAATACACACACAGTAAGTACTAAGACCAGTGGACCATCTCACCCAATGTCCCAAATACACACACAGTAAGTACTAAAACTAGTGGGCCATGTCACCCAATGTCCCAAATACACACACAGTAAGCACTAGAATGTTAGATTATTCTTCTTATTTATTATCCCAGTTCCTGAAGTGTAGAATTTCCTGTTCCATCCCCATATTACAGGTAAACACTAAGAGTGCAGGATTTCTCCTCTATACCAATTGTAAGAAATCAAGATTTTTGTTTATTACCAAAGCAAGTTTTAAGTTAAAGAGTTTTCTTTTATACCTACAAAAATTAGTTATGAAAGACTTCTCTTCTAAACCCACAATAAGATATTCAGGTATTTCTCTTCTATACCACAGTTAAAAAGACTGTTTTCTTTATACATTGCAAGGGATAGAATGAGACTGCTTGTCTGTTTTCACTGTTTCTAGTGATGCAGTATTGTATGATCTGCAACCAATGCATAGGCGTCGGAACCTAGGGGCTAGGAGGGCTTAGAACCCTTATCCCACTTTTTTTGCAAAGATAGACAATTAGACATAAGATAGGCATTGCGCACTGGGGTATACGTTTAGCCCCATCTCCCACTTTCAACAGACAGGTTGCAGTGTACATGTATAGTAAAAGAAGGGTAAGTGTTTGTGTTTGAAAAAATTATATTAAAATAAGTTTGATCCTAACCCCCACCACCACGACCACCACCACCATCACAAAATAGGATTTTTGTGTTTGGATTAGGGACAGATACTCTCTTTTTTGATTGTGTCATACTCTTTTATACATTTTTAGTGTTATTTTGTTGTAGTTCTGATATTGTTAGTGCTATTTTGTTGTAGTTCTGACAATGTTAGTGTTATTCTGTTGTAGTTCTGACTCGGTCTGAGGAGGATGGTATCGGAGTGGAGGAGTTGGACTCCATCCAGTCAGACCTAGAAACTCTGTTAGCAGCAGCAGGGCTAAGACTGAAACAGCTGGAAAACGAGAAACAAATTCTAGTGAACTGGGCTGACAAGAAAGATATCAAGGGGTTTAAGGCTGGCAAGGTATCCCAATGTTTTTATTTTAAGTATCTGAAGAAGTTTTCTGTTTACCTATGAATGTATTTGTTTTTAGGTCTCATAATAGTTTTTGTAATATGGAAATGAATTTTAAAATTTTTATTTCTACATGGAAAAAAATATATCTATAGTATTATGCTCATCTATTTTCCCAGATCTTTTGATTTTGATATAATATTGACAAATGATGCAATGAGACCTTCTGAAATTTAGTCTTAAGTTTAAGTTTATGTAGTTTGATTCTAAAAAGATACGGTTTATTTTGAAAATGTAACATTTTCAGTCTGAAGCTCCTGTTTCTGGCAAAAGAGGCAAAGTAATTGAAGACAAACCAAATAAGAAATTTAAAAGCTCAGAGAGTGGTAAAGGCTCTCACCCTACACCCCCTGGTCCGGGACGACCCAAGAGTAAAATTGCTCAGGTGAGCTGGAACAAATCACTGATGATGAAAATGTGTGAAATATGTGTAAAGTATAAAGTATAAAGCAAAACTCTCTGATGGATTTAACTCTTTTACTTCAGCGAAGGAATAATTTTAGAAAGCTTTTAAGATTTAACGACTTTGAAAATATTGTTTTCATGCACCCGGATCGATAGATCCAGGGCGTATATTGTTTTTGTCCTGTCTGTTTATCTGTTTGTCTGTCTGTTGTCAACTTTAAGCTTCGCCATAACTTTTGAATCATAAGAGATAGAGACTTCATATTTGTTTTGCATACTCCACTAATAATGCTCTTTTAAATGACATCATGGTCAATGACCTTGTAACCTTGACTGTGACCTATATGCTAAAAATAGTTTTTTTGACTTTTTGCCATAACTTTTGAACCATAAGAGATAGGGACTTCATATTTCATATGCTTACTCAAATAATAAAGTTCTTTCAAATGACACCAAGGTCAATGACCTTGCGACCTTGACTGTGACCTATATGCTGAAATTAGCTTTTCCGAACTTTGTTGCCGCCGGGCACATAGTGTTTCACAAACACATCTTGTTTGACATTAAAATAGTTTTTGTTGTGTTTAACTTTGTGTCAAATTTGTAGACAAAAGCCCAGGAATTAGACTTTTCAGCGGATTCTCCATTAGATCTACCTCGGCTACCAAAGAATGATGCAGTGAATCGATTCTGGTCCTCAGTTGAGCCATACTGTGCAGAAATAACGAATGAGGACATCAAAGTCTTAGAGGACATCCTTACCAGTCACGACGAGGAGGCAGATTATTTCAGAGTTCCTCCTCTTGGAAAGCATTATGCAGAGAAATGGGCAGAGGAGGACTTATTGGAGGAACAGAGAGATGGTAAGTCTCCTACCGTCTGTCAATGTGTCTGTCTGTCTGTCAGAGGAGGACTTATTGGAGGAGCAGAGAGATGGTAAGTCTCCTTCTGTCTGTCAATGTGTCTGTCTGTCTGTCAGAGGAGGACTTATTGGAGGAGCAGAGAGATGGTAAGTCTCCTACTGTCTGTCTAGCTGTCTGTCTGTCTGTCAGAGGAGGACTTATTGGAGGAACAGAGAGATGGTAAGTCTCCTACCGTCTGTCTGTCTGTCTGTCAGAGGAGGACTTATTGGAGGAACAGAGAGATGGTAAGTCTCCTACCGTCTGTCAATGTGTCTGTCTGTTTGACAGAGGAGGACTTATTGGAGGAACAGAGAGATGGTAAGTCTCCTACCGTCTGTTAATGTGTCTGTCTGTTTGACAGAGGAGGACTTATTGGAGGAACAGAGAGATGGTAAGTCTCCTACCGTCTGTCAATGTGTCTGTCTGTTTGACAGAGGAGGATTTATTGGAGGAACAGAGAGATGGTAAGTCTCCTACTGTCTGTCAATGTGTCTGTCCGTTTGACAGAGGAGGACTTATTGGAGGAACAGAGAGATGGTAAGTCTCCTACCGTCTGTCAATGTGTCTGTCTGTTTGACAGAGGAGGAGTTATTGAAGGAACAGAGAGATTGTAAGTCTTTTGTCTGTCTGTCTGTCTGTCCTTCAGAGGAGGACCTATCGAAGGAATAGAAAGATGTTAAGTCTCTTACTATCTGTCTGTGTGTTTGTCTGTCAATCTTTCATCTTTTAATCTATCAGCCAATCATACAAAACAGGAGGACCTCTTAGAGGTGAAAAGGAGATAAGTGGGTCCTTTACTGTTTGTCTGTCCATCTTTCAGGCAGAGATGGAGGAGTGGTAATATGGCAAAGGGGGTCACTGTTGTCTCTGTATGATGAACGTTAGTAGCTTCCCCAGTCCAGCATGACTTAGTTCAGAGTTATTGCCCATGGGTTTCTATTTTCCTTTCACAAACACAGATTTAAACAACAGCCTATTTTACACATTTTAAAGTGGAATTTGAGGGGGGTTACACTTTTTTCATAGTGTTTGTTTCTTTGAACACAGGGTCTAAGATAAATGACAAGAGGAGAGGGCAGAATAACAACAACAACAACAGCCTAAGTAACTCCAATGATGCAACAACATTACTGAAGAAGGCAGAGCAGAGGTAATTACAATATACAAAATCTGTTATAATTCAATCATGTACGTATCCAACATAATTGTTAGTAGAGTGGATAAATGTAGGTTTGGGGACAAATTGGGTGAATTTATTTTATTTTGTTCAAATTAACTTTGTTATATTCAATTCATTCACTTGAGACATCTTAAGGTGGCAAAAAATAGCTGGGTTGTAAAATATGACTCTTATTTGAAAATTTCATGTGTTCTAGGTCACTGTGTTTGAAATTTATAGCATTTGTGCACTTCACAGTCCACCTGTATAAAACTACATTGATTTACCATATTGCGTCTTTGTTTTAAGTTTGAAATGGAAAGATGTCGAGCTTTGCTACCACTATTTAATTTGTGTAAATTTTCAGTAACATGGAGGAGTCCCCATTTGGGCCCCTGACCCAGAGGCTGGTGTCAGCCCTGATTGAGGAGAACATTATGACCCCCATGGATGACACCATGAATGAAATCACAGGAGGAAAAGGTGATACAGATATCAGTCATCATTTAAAAAAAACATCCGTAGATTAGACATTTTCTTTCGATGTTGTACGCAGTTTAAAAAAATGGAGGGTAACTGTATAGGTTGATCAAACTAATGGCTTGAAAACTGTTTACTATTAAAAGTCTTCTCGCTAGTGTTATGTATGTTCCAAATTCTTATTAATTTTGCTATTTAACAGAATCTCCTGAGGAAGCACCTGCCATTTCACCCAGAGTTCTGGCAAAGCAGCTAAATATTGGTAACCCCGCCCACCTAGAGAAAAGAATTAGAAAGGAGCTAGAGGAACAAGGTAAAATATAGCAGCTAATTATTGGTAACTTAACATGTCTTGGCAATATTGCTACAGAACATTTCTTTGAATTTGTAGAAAAACATCTCTTAATCTCCATTAAACAAACAGTACAATTTAGTTTAAAATTCAATTTTATTGATTTAACAATTGATTTTCCTACAAAATCCCTACATCTCCTTGTCCAGTTGCTTATAACTTTGAAGTATGCATAGCAATCAAAGTTAGCACACAATATATATAAAAAATTAATGAGAAAATGACATAAACTAAACTGTTGTATGTTTTGTTTACACAGGAATAATTGATTGTGATGATAAGGTAGATGATAATCCAGATGATGAAATTCTGACGGAACTCCGACAAAAACAGCAGGAGCTTAAGGCGGTCAGTCAGTACGTGGTGTCAGTCACCAAGACCCTGCTGGATAAGGCTAAAGACGAGATGAAAAAACAGGAGCTGAAAAAGAAGCTGGCCACTGCTGACGCTGAGGTATTGTTACAGATTTTGGTGAAGTAAGATAATGTTCAGCTCTGATAACATAAAGAGAATATTTCTTTATAATGGAATTTGATCAGTTAATCAAATATTCTCTGAAAATTTGGTTGTCACCTTCTACATCAAAAAAAACTAAGCAGAGAGATACATGTAACATACATGTATAAATGATAGAAGTGATTCACATTTGTGTTTCTTTTTAGAGTCATGCTATGAATGGAATTTTTTTTGCAGGTACTGGAAGCATACAGAAAAGTTCAAGCAACCAGACAGAAGAAGAAAACACCCACCAAGAAGGAGAGGGATTCTGCTTGGAAAGCCATTAAAGAAAGGGAGACGATTAAACGACAGATAGAGGGAAAATTTAAGTGACTCTTACACATGAATCAAACTGTCAACATTCTAGCAAATCATAATGTAAAAGAAAGAATATGTTCAATAGGGCAACCCATGTGTTTTATAATGTGTTTTATAAGTAAACAAATTACTTAAATCACTCAACAAAATGCTTGTCAGTTCACGATTCCCGGCAATGGCAGAAACTTGCTTCACTGAGATAAATATACCCTGTTTGACATTCACAAGGAGAACAAGTCTACTCGTTGTAAACTGGATCAGCATCACTTGGAGCTACACAAGTGTACTGATAGGTGTTGTGTGCGATAAAATTGGCTTCAACTATACAGGTGTATATCAGAAAAATGGTTATGTTTGAATGTAAATTTATATTGTCATTACATGTTTGTATGTTGTGAATATGTGCATTTTAGATCAGTGATTTTACCTGTACACTTTCATGTTCCAGACATTATTAAGGTCTTCCGTTTCCAACGGAAGACCTTCTACTGATTCTGATGATTAAGATTATTCTTATTATTCTTTTTTTTTTCCTTTTCCTAGACGCCAACTTTGAGGCCTCATATTTCACTCATTTCTCGATGGATTTTGCTCAAATTTTCAGAGTTGATAGACGTTACTAAACTCTATCAAAATGTTATCTAAAATTTCAAAAAGTCACTTCCGGTTTTGAGTTATTTCCCTTTAAACGAAAATTTATAGGCTTTCGTTTCCAGACAAAGGCTCAGAGACGGCTAAAGCTGGAGCAAAAATTCTACTGATTTTAGATAATAAAAGGATTGAAGTTGTGCATAGTGGTTTTTGTTTTTCGATTTCTCTATTCAAGATGGTGCTATATAGGGGTCAAAAATTAGAATGCCTAAAAGAGCGAAAATTTACACATATTTTGCTTTTTATCTTCTAAACTAAAAATATTTTGTTAAAACATATAGAACAAAATTTGTGCAGAATTACAAGATCTTTTGAATGATATCTCGAAAAAAGGGCTGACCCCTAAATTAAGGGATCTAGAGGGGCCAAAAGTTTTTTCCAGATATCTCAAAAAGTATTGAGAATTTGTTATACATCCAAGAAGCAATGTTGTTCAAAATGTCAAGCTTAATCTAATGAAGTCGTCAAAATGCGTCCGGCGACGTCACTTCCGGTCAAACCGGAAGTAGTCAGAAAATGCATATTTTTGCTGTTCTTGACAAGTTTTTGGGTAACATATATCACAAGAAGCACAAAACTTAATTTTCTGTCCATCGACATCACTTCTGGTCAAACCGGAAGTAGCCAAAAATAGCTTATTATTTAAGGTTTTGATGCAAAATTGAAATTATAAAGTGACTGGAGACGACTAAGCTCATTGCTTTCTTTTTGCTGACGTCACTTCCGGTCAAAACAGGACGGAAGACCTTCTCGTTGCTTTGCAACGAGCTTTGCTCTAGTTATTATACAATTATTGCTGTTTTTTGAGGTCAATACAATGATTTAGCCATCTGAGGAGTACAATATTCACCGAGCCCGAAGGGTGAGGTAAATATTGTACTTCGAAGATGGCTAAATCATTGTATTGAACGAAAAAAACCCAGCAATAATTGTTTTATTATATGATTCACTGAGAAAATAATATAGCTCATTACTTGTTTGCATTTAATTAAGTCCTGGCCAAATACAAGAGAGAAGCAGAATTAAAATGTAAATAAACCTTATCAGTCGTATAAAATTGAAATTTTTATCTATTTTAGTTGCCATGAAAGAAGATATAATGCCAGTCTTTTTTATAGGATAGATTTTGAAAGGAAGGAGTATTATTAGTAGGGATGTCAAAATATTTATTTTCCTTAGTCGAACATTCGATTGCATTATTCGAATGATAGTCGACTATTCGGAGCATTTTTTGAAAAAAAATCTCATCGATAGCCTTTTTAAAAATCAAAAACCCTTTTCGTAAATTAACGTAAAAAGTAACATTAAATGCCTAGATACTAAATGTGTTACACACCAATATTCAGATGATCCTTAAGTTTAGAGAAGACGTAGAAATGAAATAGATTTACACCAGCAATTGATTCTCCAAAATGTATGAGTTTTCGTAAATCACATTCATAAATTGATCTATTACTCTTAGAGAATTGTCAGCATAGTGTTTTTAAAGCTAATTTAAAATAAATTGGAAAAGGGGAGGAGATTATTGTTTTAATAATTATCGAAGTTTTAAAACTTCACGGTTGTGCTGTGGTTCTATAGCATAATTTAAACATTGTTAGAGGTAATAAATAAATTTATAATTGGTACAAGTCCAATTAATAATTTTCAAAGTCCAGTAAAGCGCTGCATAATTTACTACAATAACAAAAAGGTCAGTAATTGAGAAATAATTATCCCGGTATGTAATTACTGACGTACTTTCTATGTTTACAACGTGGAAACTTATTTATATACTGTGACTGTGTTTAAGCTCTTATTCATCAGAGAACGGATACAATAATGGTTTTAGGAATGACGCTTTACAATTTTGAGTTGAGAATTCTTTTACACCTCCTTTTTTTGCATTTATTAAATATTCGAATGTTGTTTCATTATTCGATCGTCGGTCCATTCGACTGACAGTCGAATAGTCGACTATTCGTTGACATCCCTAATTATAAGGGAAAACTGACAGCCGGAAAATAGTAAATATTGTTGTTCAGCAAAAATGTTGGAGGGGTATCCCTGCATCTCCTCTAACCACCCTCAGCCAAAAATATACATTCGCTTATGTTTTGATTACAAGAAAAAAATCATAGTCATTTAAATAGCTTTCCAAAACAATTTGTATCAATTTGGAATTCCCTGATCTATTTTTAGATCAATGTAGAGGAAATAAATCCTTGTATTCACCTGGAACGTCACGTGCAGGTCAATACAACGTAGTATTTTTCTAACTTAGTTGGATCTCAGCCAGTAAGAGAGATGGAAATTATTCAATCATATAATAAAAATGGATATGTACTATTTAGTGTATATTTTTACAAAATTAGTACATGTATGTATAATTGTATAATTCTGGTTTCATTAGAACTGTAAAATGTTAATGTTGTTGGAAATAGAAATAAATTGAATTTTTGAAATATACTTTAAAATGTATTAACTTTATTTGTCCAATTCAGGATTTTATTTTATTTTTTTTAATTTATGTAAGAGTCCATATTAGCTCAAACCACTATTTTCTCATGCACTTCTTAAACTTTAAACAATTTCTATCTCATGGCCTCAATTGTTCTTGAAGTTTGACCTACATTTCAATAACTTTTGCCAAGTTATAATTTTTTATGGTTGGTACTAAGGTACATGGTATTTATATTTGTTTTGAATAATGTGCCCACCCTCTACTGACTCAGAGTAAAAAAAATTGGGTTGATAGGTAAGTAGCAAAATTTTTTATCCAGAAGTTGATGGGATGAAAAAAATCAGGAATACAAAGAAAGAAGTCCTTTACTGGAGATTAGACTAGCTACTCTTAGCCGGTCAGTCGGGAGAGTACAAACTAACATTTCTTAGAGATGGTCTCATGACATTGATCTTGGAATTGGACTCACTTTTATAAAAATTTAACCTTGCCCATAACTTCCTAATGGTTGTAGCTGTAGCTCATTGCACTGAAAAAAAAAATGAAATAAATGATGAAGCATGCAGTATGAAAGTGCCACACACTGAAAAATGTGTACATTGATTTATACCATGGTTATAACAAAGTGCCTGGGATGGACAATATTGATTCGTTCTATCTATTGAATTCATATGTTTTTAAGCAATGGGGAATTAATACATGTATCACTTTGCTATGTGGCTTGTTCTACTGTAATATATAATTGATAGAGCATAAAATATGCTGGTGATTCATTTTTTTGATACTGTAAATACCACTTCAAGTGTTTGTCAAGTCTTCTGATCTCTGGTCAGCTATCCAAATTTCTTCAGACAAGTACATGCTTGGACATTTGTATTGCTTTTGGTATATCCCACAAGCTAGTGTGACAAAACTAGAAACTTTCAATTTTGACCTCATGACCTTTACCTTCAAGTTTAACCTACTTTTGAAAGACTTTCTCTTGAGTTATTAAGTGTTGTATGGGGGCACATTAATGTTTCACAAATATCTATTGTTTATAATTAAAATTCAATTTCTGGAAATAAGTTTTTTTTTCTTCATTATTTTGATTCTTACCTACCACCCCCTTCCTTGGGCATATTTTAAAATTTAAAATAAGTTCTGTGGTAAAATACTATTTGTCCGTATACTCCAGTTGATCCAAATATATAACCTGTAAATGAGGCTGCAGAAAAAAAATAATTATTATAACTACATGTATTTTTTTTTAAATTTAGTTATGTTGATCAAAAAAAAAGAGTGTATTTTAATTCCGGATAAAAGATTTCCACTTGAATTGGTTTGTCGTTTAGTAAACCTTTTGGCATGGTCAATAATACGTTTTGCAAAATGGAAAAATTGTACTGATCTTTGCAAGTTTAAATTGACATTGATGAAAGAAGAAATTTTGTGGAAATCCACTCTCTCAAGAGTTTATTATATGTACCGATTTATTTACATTCAAGAGGCATGGATTGACCGATTTCTAAGTGAATTACACCTTACTCTTTGTATTGTGCGTCATTTAGAGTGAAAAAGGCTTCACCAAAAAAGCAATCATGTCTAAAGCATTTCCAAATGTTCCCATTCAGTCTACAGCGGGTGCTGTCCCCATGAAAAATGAAAAGGGTAAGATGATCTTGTATAATAAAAATCAAATTAACTTCTACGGTTTTGTTAACATATGTTCATGATTGATTCAGAATCACTCCTAGATTTACAATTTATTTGGGACATAGTCATAATTTGTTTTTGGTTTACATTGTGTTTTTTTTTATATACAGTATTCTCTTTCTAACATTTGATTACTTGGATAAAGTGACTAAATTAGTTTCAAGAACATTTTCTATTTTTTTCTTTCACCGATAAATCTGGTAAATTGTACAATATTAAAATTGAATTCTGGCGAACAATCCTCACACGACTTCTAATATTCAAGATATCATTTAATATTGGGAAGTTTATACAATGAGTGAATTTTTATTAACAAATACATTTTGATCTCAACAGGGGAAGTTGTAATGCAAAAAGTGAAAGTAAACAGATATGTTACTGGAAAGAGGTAGGTCACTTCACATTAGTAAAATGTCAAAACTTACCGGATAGGTATTAAGGTGCATGTATTAATTGTATTTACATTTTCCTCAATCATTCCTCGCTGTTTAGGCCAGATTATGCTCCAGACAGCAGTGGTGGAGAAGAAAGTGACGAAGAATTTGAGTTTAACAGAAAAAAGCAGCAGCAGCAAGCAAATGAGGAAGTTGAAGAAGACGAACCCGAGATATCGGAGAATATTCAGGACCGACGTCTCCGACGATTACAGACCCGTGACAAGGACTATGACAGCGATGATGATGAAAGGTTATCATTATTTTATGTTTCTTTGTTTGATTAAGCTCTGTTGCCATTGAATTGTAATGGACACTGAAAGCATTGTACATTGTTTTATTTTTGTTTAAAAGTAATTGATAAAAAATCTGCATGTTTAAAAATGCTGAATATAATTTTTCTTGTACAAAACAGATTTATACTTTTCATTTGTATACAGGGGTCTAGAATTACGCTTTCCCGTTGCCCGGGGTGAGTAAATACGGGAAAGTACAATAGTGGGTCATGCTCACCCGCTCGGGAAAGTAAAAATAAATGACAGTAGACATTTATGTTGTTGAAAGTTGTTCTTTTCAAGTGTTTTGATTATAAATTGATTGATTTTAATTTATTTACTTAGCTAGTGAGTTGTGTGAAGCGCTATGAAGGGTTTCCCGTCATATAAAATGTACATTATCACTACCGGAAATACTTGTTTGCTGTATAAATAAAAAAACAAATACGGTACTCTTTCGATTTCCCGGAATTGATACGAACGTGATTTGAGGGCTATAACTCTTAAAATTTAAATGATTAATGTTAGAATTAACGAAATAAATGTTATAATCCACTGATTAATAATTTTAACTTTAAAAATACAATTCAGTATAGCATACAGTGTATTAATATATCTATATCCAAAATGCAATGCAATATAGCATAAAAACAGAGAAATAAATAGCATAAATATTTTAATTGGTGGAAAAATATTCACATGTTCAAACCATGGGAAAAATGTTAGCCTGTACACATGTAAATGGATACAATATATATAATAAACATAAATGTCAATAAAATCTTAAAACTTTATTGTTTCGTGTTCTTGCTGGGCAAATGAATTTTTTAGGCGGGCAAGTGAAATTTATTGTATCACTTGCCCAAGGGCAAGTGAGTTATAAAAAAAATTCTAGACCCCTGGTATATAAGAAAAATGTTACATTTTATAACAGGGTAGCAAGACATAGAAGAGAAATTGTTGAACCAGAAATTATTCAGGAGAAGTCTGACTCAGAAGATGAGCGGCGGAGAAAGAGGTTTGGAGAAGATGAAGAAAGCAGTGAAGAAGAAGAGGAGTTAGATGAGGAGGTGTGTCTTTTTCATCCTCTACAGAATTTTATATTGTCAAGGATTAGAAACTTGTCTGAATCATTCAAATGTTTCATTTCTATAACAATGGTCTGCTAAACATTTTCTAGGAAATAGAAAGGAGAAGACAACTCCTTCGTCAAAGAATGCAACAGAGACAGGAAGAGGAGGTTTGTTTAGAATAAACTGGATTAATTTTATGATTAAGCAAGAAAAACTGTATTTAAGTGCCTTAGCAATGCATGTCCGCATAAAGACATATACACAGAACTGACACATTTTTATCAACTGATTGTGTTGTAGGAAGTTTTAGAATTAGAGGAGGAAAAGGTGGAGGGAGAAAGTGAGGAGGAGTCCTCAGAATATGAGGAGTATTCCGACTCAGAGGAGGAGACAGGTCCTCGACTCAAACCCGTGTTTGTCAGAAAGTAAGTTCAAACAGGGAGTTATCACTACTGTTATATTTACTTAGACTACGTATGCTTACCGAAATGTGCAGAATTTTTTTTTATCAAAAAAAAAGACTGCAATTTTATTGAATTTGACAGAAAAGACAGAATAACCATCCAAGAGAAGGAGAGAGAAGAAGCAAAGAAAAGAGAAATGGAGATGGAGGCTAAGAAGATCGCAGAGGAGAGAAGAGGACACACACTGAAGGTGAGAATCATTTACAAAGTATCCTAAATTAAAATAGTACAGAACAGACAAGAGCACATTGAAAATTAGTCATATGGAGATAATATGCAATAGAAAGTACTTGTGGATCATTTTCACTTTGATACCATTAGATCATGATCTTGTAAAAACGATTCAATAGTTACCTTTAAAACTAGTGCAAATACCATTCTGTTCAATGATTATGACCTTTTTAATACATGCATCATTGTATTGGAGTAATCTAACAAAATGATAAAAGTACATTTCTCTAAATCATTTTTAAAAAGTTGGATGTGATTCTTTAGTTCATTAGGAAGAAAGTTGTTCTTTCTGTGGGACATTAAGGAGGAGTATGTTCTGTCTATTGATCATTAAGGGAGAGGTTGTTCTTTCTGTTGATCATTGGAGGATGGTGTTCTCTTAAGATGGGTGTTCCTTTTTTTGTTGATCATTAAGGAGGATGATCAGGGTTCTCCACAAGCGGTTTTACCATGGCGGCCCGCCATGATTAAATTTATGTGCGCCATGGTTAAACGAGCTGCGCCATGGTTAAAATCGGCGACCGCCATGATTAAATTTTTATTGCATTTTAGTATTGATATTGACACCTACTTGTTAATAACTTGACTAGTCAATTGTGTTTATACTACGACTGCCATGCACCTCGCATGCCTCGAAGGAAAGCGGACTGTGCTAAAGAAACACGGTCGTTGATCGGCGACTATGCTATGAAGCGTGATAATGGAGAGTCAATCAGCTGATGATCAATATTTTGAGAGTTAATTATCCTGTACACATGTATATATCTAATTTTGGGGAATTCCAACGTGTTTTCAAAACGATAAATTTAAAAGATGACATATAAACGAGCAGTAACAACATGAAAATCGTAAAGCATCCGATTCATTCAAGTTTCTGTGCCAAGAAAAAAAAACCAATAACCATATCAACATTTCATATTCTTTGCATTTAATCAATTCCATATGCTTTCTTTTCTTTATTATCTTTCTGATAAAATGTATGTAAGTGCCAATGGTAGTATTACTTTTAGAGTTGCTTCCCATTTTTATGAAACGTTGTGTGGTTCTAATTTTAGCACTGGAGCACGTGGAAGTAAACAATAGAGGACAATTGGCGAAAATACAATACGTTGAAAAATAAGAACGTTTAGGATTTAAAAAAAAAAACAAAACAGAGAAAGTAAAATTACAGTTATATCAAATTTATGCCCCTGGTAATATTAAGTTTAATACTTTTACCATGCATGCCATCAATAAGTTTTCCTAGACCATTCAGTAAAAAAGCTAAGACATTGATGTGATGTCGGTGTTTGTGTGTCTGTTAACTTAAAAAATACTGCCCATTCATTAGTTTAATTCATATTTTGAATAAAATGTTTCATACAATAGGTACATCAATTCTGTATATTAATTTTATAATGTTGCCATGGTTACTCTATCAAATAATTTTTTTGAAATCCTTCAAATTGTTCCTACAGTCATTGGATTTTGTTACACATTTGCAAAGTAAGATACATAATCTTTTTATCATGTTTAGTCTTTTTTATATTTTTTAGATGAAAGAATTATTGGATTTTTCAACTTTCTGTGTTGCAGTAATTAAGTTTTGAGTAATCAAATGAAGGTTAGGAAGTCAAACTCGCATTCGTGTTTTCGGTCACATCGTTACTCGTGATTTCGCCTTCGCGCAGCTTCCTCCATGGTTAAATTTTCAAATGTGGAGAACCCTGATGATGTTGTATTAAGGTGGATTTCTTTTGTAGATCATTAAGGAGGATGGTGCTCTATTAAGGTGGATTTCATTTGTAAATCATTAAGGAGGATGGTGTTCTATTAAGGTGTTTGTTTTTTTTTTTTAGATTATTTAGGAGGATGGTGTACTATTGAGGTGGATTTCTTTTGTAGATCATTAAGGAGGATGGTGTTCTATTAAGGTGGATTTCTATTATAGATCATTACAGAGGATGATTTCTCTTAAGGTGGATTTCTTTTGTAGTTCATTAAGGAGGATGGTGTTCTATTAAGGTGGATGATTTTTTGTTGATCATTAAGGAGGATGGTGTCCTATTATGGTGGATTTTTTTGTAGATCATTAAGGAGGATGGTGTCCTATCAAGGTGGATGATTTTTTGTTGATCATTAAGGAGAATGGTGTTCTATTAAGGTGGATGATTTTTTGTTGATCATTAAGGAGGGTGGTGTTCTATTAAGGTGGATTTCTTTTGTAGATCATTAAGGAGAATGGTGTTGTATTAAGGTGGTTGTTTTATTTTGTAGATCATTAAGGAGGATGCCCGTAAGGAAGCAGAGGAAGAGAAGACTGTGGAAGACGCCTGTGATGCTCTGGACTCCGGAGACGAAAATGATGAGGAAGAATACGAGGCCTGGAAAGTCCGAGAGTTAAGGCGATTAAAGAGAGATAAAGAAGAACGAGAAAAGTAAATGTCCTATCAATATCTGCATTACGGAATCATAGAAAAGAAATATAAGTAGACAAGTCAAATGAAAAGAGAAGTGCATGCCCACTAATAAATGATAAGTTTTTTAACACATTTAAGTGATAAAATACAGATGTTTTGAATAATTTCTTAACTTCCTGTACTATGTAAAACATCTCAAAATTTATTCTTTTAAAGTATTGAAAAAGATAAGATGGAGATAGAGCGTGTCAGAAATATGACAGATGCCGAAAGACGACAAGAATTCTCCCAGAATCCAAAACTCGTCACAAACAAAGCTCCAAAGGGCAAATACAAGTTTCTACAGAAGTACTACCACAGAGGAGCCTTTTATGTGGTAAGTCCTGATTTTATGGCAGTCAAACAAAAGTCATCAGACATTAGAGCGAGTCTTTCTTCACCACATGCCTTTCTATTTGCATTGCATTCTTTTTATCATTTTAACAATATTCCATGCCTTCCCATTTATGATAAGAGGCATTTTACTATGGGCGACTTCGATTCGTACTCGAGTATTAACTCTTGGTTGACGTCACATGACCAGATGTTTACACCAACATGTGGTTTTCAAGCGAACTCATATGACTTTGAAGGGTAGCAAAAATAATGGTGTTCATATTTGTTCTATACGATAAATTTATAATTAAGTGACGATTTTGCGCATTTTTAAATTCTTAGAAATTCAGGCTCCAAGACCACAAACTGAAAATAAAAATCAGCTTTTGAATATTTTAATAATTATTTAATGAAATTCTTAAACGCTTTCAAGTATACTGTATTTGAATACAAACATATAAACTTGAAAAGTTTCTTTCATTTTAAAATTTATTCTAATTTAATTTTTTTTTTACATTTCATTAATAAACTGCAAATAATGCATACACCATGTACATGTACTTATATATTCAAAGAATTGTATTTTGGAAAAAAAATGAATGAGAATCTTAACTTTTTTGCAGCTAAACTTTTGATTATTTAATATTTCTTAATGAAAAAGTAAATCAAACATCTGTTACATTATAAACAATGAATACTTGTTTGTTTTCAATACTATTTTCATATTAATTTTTTTTCCTCCATAAGATTTAAAAGGCACTCAAATAGGTCCATTTTGGCATCTTCTGTTGAGTTAATTTTTCTATAGCTTTAGCTGCAGTTGAAGTGGGTTTTTTTCCAGCTAAGAACTTTTTTGGTTTTGAATTTGAATTAGATTATTTTATGTCTCTGTTGTTATGGGGCAGTAAGCCTGAACATTCTAATCAAATAAACATATATGCATATAAATTATAAAGCGTCATGTAGAAAGTGCGTTTCAAAGTTTGCTTTTAAGGATTACAGATGCAAAACATAACATTTTGTAAAAAATGATTCCCACAGCTCAGATTTTTCGTTCGACGCTGCCATATCAAAACTCTAGTAATCCTACTGTATGGCTGGGTTAGCTTGGGTAGAGTTCATAAGGTCATATGACGTGATTTGAGTAGTAACTATAGTCGTTCGATTGAAACTCAAGTAACTCGAGAACGTACTCGGGTACGAATCGAAGTCGCCATATGATACAGAGTTTTTATGCTACTCTCCCTTTTTTTCCTTCTGTACTACTTTGTTTTCAAAAATAAATTGCTTAGAAGCATATTGGTATAAGCAATGCAAAAGTGAACTTGGTTTCTTCTCTTAGATAAATATTTATGTAAGCAATTTATTGTGGTTGTGAAATGTTACCTCTAAAAATTCTCTGACGTGGAAACTAATAAAGTCAAACAGAATTTTTTTTTGAATTTTAATAAGGACTCTGTACATGTATCTTTGTCTTGTTTCATTTACAGCAAGATTATGAAGACCAGGTCTACAAACAGGATTTTTCTGCCCCTACATTGGAAGATCACTTTGATAAGACAATTCTACCTAAAGTCATGCAGGTACTTGAACCTTTTTTTCTTAATGTGTTTGTGAAATATGTTATAGTTTTTTTTCCACAGCATTTCAAAGACATGGTGCATAAAATACAAATAATCAGTACAAGTTAAATCCCTTGAAAAATCAGAAATATTTTGTTCAGTGAACATGTTCTGTATACTGTAAAAGCACAAATTTTCGTGTGCATAAAATTTCGTTGTTTTCTCATAAAAAATAGTTTCGACGGCATTTAATTTCGTTGTTTTGAAATTAACCCTATTCAATATATAGTCATATAAAATTTCGTGTGGGATTTAATTTCGTTGAATATTGTTAACAACGAAATAAACGAAATTTAATCCCCCACGAATATTTGTGCTCTTACAGTATGTTTTAATGAACAATGATCAGTATAAAAAGCAGCAATCATTATTTACATTGATTAGATTAAGGTCAAATATTACAAGATATTTTTTTAGATAATTATACTTTTCAAAGTAAAGTTCTTTATAGATTTCTTCATCAATAACCAGTACATGTATAATGAATTTATATCTATGTTATTTTTTGAATTAGGTCAAGAACTTTGGTCGGTCAGGAAGGACAAAGTACACTCACCTTGTGGACCAGGACACGACCCAGTTTGACTCACCCTGGATAGCGGACACCGCACAGAATCTGAAAACTCACATGACAAAGGGAGGAGGGATGAAACAGGTGTTCCACAGACCCACAACCAAGTCAAAACGAAAGTGAAAGTAAAGAAGTGGGACAGAAAAATTTCCTAGAGAGAAAAGTGAAGCCAATGGAAGAACATGTACTGTGATGTTTAGTTTGTTTACAAAGAGACTGTACATATTAATGTAATTTGTATGAGTTTGAGGAGATGTCTCCTGTTGTTTCTTGTGAATATGAGAAAGAAAAAAAAGGGACAATTGAAGTCAATGTAAGAAAAGAAAATATTGTTTCAATACAAAGATCTGTTTGACCTTAATAGAAATTTTGTACACTGGTTCATAGAGAGTATTGGTATGCAAGTTCAACATCCCAGGTTAAAAAAAAATCATCATTGAACATTGTAATTATCATCCACAGCAAGTCATTTTTGTTTACCTGATGATAAATTTTGATGTTTTATTTCTTTTATTTACATGTAATTTCTTCATATTAATAAATAAAAAATTAAATTCATGGCAAATATAGCTGATATCCCCTCTGGCCAACATTCAAATACTGCATGGACAAAAATGTTAACAGCGTATTGGTGGATTGTGTGACTAGTCTGTGATACGTTTGTTTAGACTGTTTGAAAGTACAGTGTGGGACAGATTCCAAACTACACGTCTGCCAGTGTATAGTCTGGTTTTTAGTATGAAGTTTTCTCTGAGACTTCTGTCAGTTTGGTTTTTATCTTCATCTTTGTATCATACAACATTCCCCGACCTTCCTAAACCATACCTTCTGTTGACATTGCCTCGGCTATCGTGTGCATGGTGGCTTTTACTGAAATTAAAAACACACATACTGAATGTAATCTACTTTATGTTATATTATATGAAAACGTATGTATAATTCATAAAACGTTGGATGATTTAGATTGATAGAATATTAGATCTAAGGACACCAAGTTTTTCAACTAAAGCATGATAACATGAAAAGCTTTTCCTTGATAATTTCTTGTATAGTAATGTACATGTCTACAGACATGCAAGTAATACACCAATTTTTGCACAAATTACCATTCAGTATTGAAACTAGAAAAATACACTTTTAAAAACTATTATACATTATGTGTTGGGTGGATGTGTCTAAACTGATATATACTGTAGCAGTTATTACAGCAATAAATTTAAAAAAAAAAGACAATATGAGAACAATTAAGTTTTTTTTAATCACAGTATAGAATTTTACGATTTAGCAATTTCAACACTCTCCCTAAAAATGCCAAAAATTAGCCTTAAATATTTTTAGACTTGTCGATTAAGGTATACATGTGTATTTCGCATGGTTTAGTGCTTTGTAAATGTGCAGAAAACTTTAGATAAAATGTTAATTAAAAAGCAGTCTTCGAAAGGAAAAAAAATATTATAATACTCTAATTAATTTAAAATACTAGACCTCTTTATTTGTATTATTAAATCTAAATTCATTATTTTGAAGGATTCTTGAACTGTACTTTACAGGATGGCTCTCTGTATCTTGGTTTAAATGCTGAAAAAACCCCTAAATATCAACGAATCAATTAAGGAACGGCCATTTGATTCGGGGGGGGGGGGGGGGGGGGTTAGAGAGTTGGATTATTTTCATGTTTGTGGTGGATATAGCATTTATTTTTCACTGGAACAAAAATGACCAAAAAAATCAACAACAACAAAAACAACAACCAAAAAAAGAAGGAATATATCAAAGTGAAAAACTTCAATGGGGGGGGGTTACTAGCACTAGTCGTCCTGGACAGATTATTTATTTTCTTGCCCAGTTAAAGACTATTTATTTTCAACACTTTCGTGGACATATTATTTACATGTACCAAAATCTGCTAGCCTTCCCTCCTTCAGAATCAAATGGTCGTCCAATCTGAATAATCTTGCCATTCAGTCAAAAATTAGAAATATGATATGTCATGCTGTCATATATCAAGTGCATGCGCAGTATCATGATTATGCCACTCTAAAATCTGTATACACATGATGCACCACAATCGATGTCATATATATACATGTAATAGACCTATATTCCTTTGTGTGGTAAAGTGCGTGATTACCGCACAGTGAAATTGGAAAAAAAGGTTCAATAAGGTAAGTTTAAAAAGTTTCTGAGTTGGAGTTAAAAATAAGTCTGAAAGCCTGTTTACTTCTCTAGTATGTTGTCGAATGGTCAAGTTCGGTTCCATTGGGAATCTGACTTGAGCCAATACACCCAACGTAAGTTTAATTCAGTCAGAAATTAAACTTAGTTTTACGTAAGTTAAATTAAGCTTCGATTTAAAGTTCAAATGTAAATGTGTTCATCTATACGCGTACGCTTAGCTTCTCATTCAATCGACAACATATAGAAATATAATACCCTTAACGTGTTTGTATTTTCCACAACACTGGCCCGTAGCGGTTAAAACTGTCTGAATCCTGGAATCTGCAAAACGCTATACTCAGAAAAATAGTGTGTGTAGACCTGGGGGGGGGGATTCAGTGGGCTTGTGATAGTTTGCTAATTTTTCATTATTTCATGTGTATAGAATCATATACTTTGAATGGAATTTCATTTTGCTTTTCATGCAGGAGGAGCAATCCTCAGATGAAATCTAACAATGTTCCTGTTCGTTCCTTTTCGTCAGGTTACAATTCTGTCATGTGTGAGTATATTATAACTCTGCACTCCTATTGAGGAAGTATATCTACTTGACCGACTTTGATCTGTATTTAATACTACTTCCTCATTCTAAAATATACCACGCTTACTTTCCAATTATCTATAAACATGAAATAAATCTGACATAGTCATGATATAGTTTCTTGAATTTTTTTATTTCCTTATAATCATGATAAAACTTGTATAATTATTACAATATTATCGTGGTAATTAATTTCAAATAAAGTTTCTCGGATGGAAATGTGTGCACATGATTAAATCCATTTTCCTTTAGTTCTTGACGATTGTCCTTTCCTGTAAACAATGGATCCTAAGAAGGGAAAATTACCGAACAGGAGTTGTCCTGAAATGTTGTGCCATCAGTTGCAATCCAGGTAGAATAATTATTTGCTAAAAGTATTTTACCATTAAAATACGGTATATACGTTCCTTTTTACTAAGCTGTAAAGTGGAGTATGGGCTGTTCATGTTCTTATCGCGAATAAAAAAAAAGTAAAAAAGTTGTGTGTATGTACAGAAAGCAACTGTGTTAAATTCCTTCAAAAACATTCTTCCTTTTCCAGGTTCGTATGTTGTGGTGTGTACCTCTAATTGGACGAATGATATATGTAGAACCTGTCCTGAGGGGACTTACATGGAGGATCCGACAAACTCTTCTCTGCCGCGGTCTTGTATTCCCCACGAATGCCCGCCCAGTAAATAATTATAATGTCATGATTCACCCATAAAGTCAATATCATATATTGTCATGAGTCATCCCATTCAATATCATATTATGTCTTGAATCATCCTATTTGATATCATGTATTGTCATGAATCATCCCATTAAATATCATACACTACTATTGTCATGAATCATCCCATTCAATATCATATATTACTATTGTTATGAATCATCCCATTCAATATATATCATAAATATCACATATCATATATTGTCCTGAATTATCTCATTGTTCAATATCGTATATTGTCATAAATCATCCAAGTAAATATCAATACTTATATGATTGCGCCCATGTGAAAAGGGTCCTTATGGCAATTTTTATGCATTTTGAGTTTTTCACGGATTCTGATAGACTAAGGTTAGAAGTTGTCAAATATGAATTTTTATGGTCCTACGTCTACTCTAAGTAGGTTTTTTCTTCCTTTTTATCAAATATACTTTAACAGGTTAATGATGACGTCATGTTTTTCAACAACGTCAAACGTTTTCAGAGTGAACGTTAAATGATTTTCTTCTGTAATTTTACTACGGTGATTAATAGTTGTATAATATTTGATATTTTTCCATGCACATTATTTTTATCTCATTGTCTCTTTTAATTATTAATAATTATTTAATAGTTATATATATTATGGATTCATGATCAGTGGTGTATAGTATTATGAGTGAGTGTTTGTTTTACATTTCACTTTTCTATGACACCAGGGGGAAACCTGAACAGCGGGCAACATCCATTCATTTTTTTTTTGGAACAATTATTTTCTCAAACAAAATATTTACTGGTAATCCATGCAAGAGTCATTTGATAAGCCTGTAGAATTCATTAGAAAATTATTTATATTTAACAATTGTTCTCGATAGGTCAAGATTTCAGCATAAAACGATATATCTTAAGTTACCATATATGTGAAAATTATTTTTTTTTTAAATTACAACATTACGCTACCTAAATGCTACTGCGAAGTTAAAATTTAGTTGATTGTTCTTTCTTTCTAAATTTTATATAAAGACAGAAAAATTGTGAAGTGTGGTACATGTAACATGTAATTACGATACACAATGGACTGTAAATAAAAAGGAAATTCGGTTGATTCACTGCACCTATAAGGTTGTCTGTCTGCATTGGGTCAATAATGACACTGCTTTTTTGAAAATATAAAGGATACACGAAATATTTTTCAGTCTAGCAGTAAAAATATTTTAATATTAACCAACCAAAAGATGGAAATTTTAAGAACAAATGAATGAGTTATAATCCGCAATCATTTACACAATAGATAAACCCAGAATTAACATTTGTAGGATTATGTGTATGTTGGTGAAGGGGGGGGGGTGGTAAAAAATCTACATGGCAGAAACTTACAATTCTTGTCAACACGAGTTAAAATAAATAAAAAAATATATATTTTTTTTAATTCAGAAGTTTTAGGTGCACCCAATACCATTAACCCTACAACTTGCAGATTCACTTTTTTATTTAGGTTTGAAATAATGCTGCCTATTATTCTTCTTTTTATATTTGTACCTTTAATTCTGAGCATTGCCATTTTCAAAATCGCACAGCAATCATAAACACTATGAACCTGGAACTGAATTGCTATGAATTCAGTATTGTTAATCATGTATATAATGATACCCTAAAATTAAAAAATCTGGTTTTATTTTATGAAATGGAGGGTTTTAGAAGCACACCCATAGAATTAAATTAAAGATGCATTCAATATAAATATTTTTATCTACCCTACATCCTCTCTCTCTCTCTCTCTCTCTCTCTCTCATCAGATTTGCTTGACCAGCTCTATTAATGTTAGAACATTAAGAAAAAATTTTTTTCATTCGGATGTTTTTTGCTTGTTTTAATTTCTCTAAATTGAAGTATCTTTGTGCAACAAGAATACAAGACAAAACAACATTTTTAAATTTTAATTTATTTAATCATGATTATAAGGTAGACGCTTTACATGTTTATTATTTTTTTAAAAATGCAATTCGTCATGAAATTATTTCATTAAAAAAAAGATATAGATAAGAGATTTGAAAAAAAAATTAAAGTCTGTTCAATTTTGCATTTTTCTTTTTTTTTTTCTTTGTTTTTTCCTTTTTGTACATTAACCTTATTCCCAAAGTACAATAATATTTTTTTAATTTAAAAATTCATAATTATGATGACGATTAAAAGTTTTTTTATTTGGTTATAAAATATGACTTTTATAATCCGGGAGAAAATTCATGCGAACATGCAGCTGAAATGTGAAAAAGTACGCAGCTAAAATAGTGAATGTCCCTGTCTGGTACCCCTGTTACATCGATTGTTGACATCAGAGTTATCTCTCCTATTTTTATTTATAGAAAATACAAATAATCTTGACTATCGTTCTTACACATTCTTGCTAGATTTGTAAAAAAACGTGGAAGATGTATGTTTAGTTTCAACATTTGTACAAACAATTTAACAACAGTTTAAGCAGTATGCACCGATGAATCAATGTTTACAAGTGATCGACGCGATCGCGATGTATATTTGAGAGTGGTGGAGCGAATCTCAAAGAAGTAGGAAGACAATTTTCCTTTGCAATATTTTTTACGATATACCCTGTCTAAGATGTATTCTAAAAATGGTATAAATATGTAAATAAAATTTATCTAGAGTATGAAGGTTCAATATGCTATCAGAAAACACCTTGTCTACAGATTCTATACATTTAATTACGCATGTATAGGAAAACTATTGGTATTATAGAGACGTATTTATATAATAATGTTTGTTAAGAAACCAGTTCTAAATGTTTTTATTTAATATTCATATCTATTAAAATCAGTGGATTAGGAGATTCAGATATTGATTAAATTAATTTATAAATGAAAATAAATTCCACATGTTGGAAACAGCGATAAAAACTCTGGATGCATCAAACGTCAAAACACGTGGTTAAAAAAAATCTGCGTCGAAGTTCACCGTCAGTCTGCAACGTCACATCTTTATGACGTTATTTCTCTGTTTTAGCAAATATGCCATAAGGACCCTTTTGTCATGGGCACAATCATATATTGTCATGATTCAGCCCCTTTCAATATCACATATTGTCATGATAGTAATCTGAACTAGTGCTAATTGTAACGGGGACCGTTACAGATGTTCCCCAAACGCTCCCAAACTCCCCTTTGGTGCCATATTCCCTATAATCTCTATTAGATAAGAAATACTTTATGGAATTTAGACTTAATCAAGGTCTTCCCAGAAAAATACAAAATTTAAAAATAGGCATTACACGTGTGTTCATGTGCGTAACGACTATATTTTCTTGTCTACACTATCTCAAATTTTAAAATACTTAATATCAAAGCATTTAATCCAAAAGTATTAAAAAATTCACTCATTCGAGTGTATTTTTAATTTTACTCATTTAACGTGCACGCACGTGCAAGCACGTGCATAATGACTACACCTTCTTGTAGGAGTCCCTTATATTTATCTATGTTCTAAATCACATCCTGTTTGGTTGAAAAACAAGGGAGTTATAGCCATTTGAAGTTTCAGCCAATCAGATTACAGCAAACATGCATGCGCGTGATTTCATAAATTTTTATCTTTATCGTATTGAAGGATATCTAAATGAATGACTATATTTTAAAATTCCAAACATTTCGTCAAAAAACAAAGGAGATATAGCCATATAAAGTTTCAGCCAATCAGATTGCAGCACACGTGCATGCGCGTGATTTCACGAGTTTTTTTTTCTATATCATATTTTAGGATATCTTAATGCATGACTATGTTTTAAATTTCAAAGCATTTCGTCATAAAACAAAGGAGATATAGCCATATAAAGTTTCAGCCAATCAGATTGCAGCACACGTGCATGCACGTGATTTCATGAATTTTTTCTATATCATATTTTAGGATATCTTAATGCATGACTATGTTTTAAATTTCAAAGCATTTCGTCAAAAAACAAAGGAGATATAGCCATTTTATGTTTCAGCCAATCAGATTGCAGCACGCGCGCAGGCGCATGATTTCATGATTTTTTTATATATATCATGCTGTAGATCTTCGTAATGTAGGACTATGTCCAAAATTTCAAAAGATTATGACAAGAAACAAGAAAGATATTGAGACTTTAGTTTCAGCCAATCAGAGCGAAGCGCACGTGCATGCGCGTGAGATCTTGCTATTTTGATGATGCCATCTTGTCTATACTACTTATGTATCCTTACATTATGAGTTTCAAAAAAATTCATCAAGAGAAAGAAAAGTTACAGCAATATCCATTATATTGGTCATTTCATGTGTTGCACGTGCGCGCTCTTGCAAGCACGTGCGCGCAAAATGACCTTCGTTCGGCAAATCTACATAACATCCCTACTGACCCTAAAAAGGTTTTACATAAGTCGGATGTGTAGTTTACAAGATCACTCGCGGACAAAATTTTCCCAGGAAGAAAAATAATAATAACTAGTGCTAATTGTAACGGGAACCGTTACAGATGTTCCCCAAACGCTCCCCAACTCCCTTTCGGTGCCATATTCCCTGTAAGCTTCATTAAATAAGACACACTCTGTGCATTTTTGACTTACACAACGTTTTCCCAGAAGGATACCAATTATATTCAATTTTTAGCATTGCACCCAAGCGCATGTGAATGCATGGGCGTTATGACCATATCATCTTGTCTACACTATTTATCTATTTTAATATACTATGTATTAAAGCATTCAGTCCAAAAGTAATAAAAATCACTCATTCAAGAGTATTTTTAAATATACTCGTTTCAAATGCACGCACGTGCGTGTACGTGCATGATGACCATACCTTCTTGTAGGAGTCCCTTACATCTATCTATGTTCTAAATCTCATCCTGTTTGGTTGAAAAACATGGGAGTTATATCCATTTAAAGTTTCAGCCAATCAGATTGCAGCACACGTGCATGCGCGTGATTTCATGATTTTTTTTTCTATATCATTTT